GCTGGCTGGTAAGTGCTCTCGTGGGGTGGGCACACCTGACTCAGGATTGAGGGGCTCAGAGGGCTTTCCTGATGGAGTGAGGTCTCAGCTGAATCTAAAGTCAGATCATAACTCAGATGCCCACGGGGCAGGCAGCTGAGGTCAGTAGGCTAGCCTCGTTCTTGTTTTTTTTTTTTTTGCTAGCCTCATTCTTAAATGGAGATATGCTCTGCTGAGTATCAAATATATAGTAATATTCTTCACAGATAATGCTCTCTTCATTTTGCTTGACACATGACTTGTGGAGTTAGAGAGATGGATGCTGAGAAGTATTGCCCTCTTCTAAATCAGCAGTGCCAATGTGATGATAAATGGTAACTGCCTCTTGGCCTCCAAATGGGGAACGCAAAAGGAAGAGGTGAGAACCACAGCTCTGGGAAACCCAGTTGCCCTGTGGGTACTGCGCCCTGTGGGGGCCAGTCTTCTGATGGTGGACATGTAGATAGTTTCCAGGTTTTGGTCAGTATCTCTGATTACTTCCTTAGGATACATTTTGAGCAGTTTGAGGGTATAAACATCTTTAAGATTGATTTTTTTTTTCAGAAATATTCTGCCAACTTACATTATCACCTTTCCAGTCTCAGGTTTTATCATTGCATAATGTATAGAAAAAATACTGCATTAATCTCTCACTTCCTTTATTATTGAAAAATTGTTTCATATATTTTTTGATCTTTGTATTTCTTCTTTTATGAATTGACAGTTCATATTCTTGGCCTGTTAGAAGTGTTTTCAACTGTACAACTAATACATATTTATTTAATGCAAATAAGAAAATACAGATATGTGAAAAGAGAAACAAATACCTATAACTCCACCACTGACTATTAACCACTATTTTTTTGGTGTGTGTATCCCAGGTCTACACCCAGTATCCATAAGTATATATGTGTCTTTTTTTTAAAAAATAAGATCATACTATTGTTGCAACTTCATGTTTTTACTTACCAATACGGTGTGGAAACATTTTCAGGTTAAAAAGAACACATTCAAATCATTTCTGTTGGCTGTGTTGTATTTCATTGTAATGATGTGCCAGAATTTAATCAATTTCCTAACTTAGACTGTAGGTCTAGGTTATTTTGGTATTATAAATATTCATTATTTAGCAAATCTTAATAAGTATACTCAATTACTTTCCCAGGATAAATTCTAAAAGTAGAATGGTTGGATCAAAGGTTACATATTTTCTTAAAGCTTTTAAAACCTATTATCAGTTACATTACATTAAAAATTACACATTTCCCAAAATTTGTATCAGTTTATACTACCACTAGCAGTGTTTGAGAGTGCTCTGTAACAGATTGTACTAAGGTGACCTCAACAATCCCTTCCATCCCATATAGTTTCCAGAACTCTATCACTGCCCCATCAAAAGGCAGAGCCTAGGACTCCTCTTCTTGAACCAGGGAAGGCCTTTGTAGGTGCATTCCGGGTAAGCCTTTAGATCTGCCTCTACCAACAATGAACAACAAAAGTAATGCTATTTGACTTTTGAGGGCAGCACAAAAACCTGCCATGCACTCCCACTTTATTCTCGTTGGACGACTGCTCTTGGAGGTCAGCTACTATGCTGTGAGGAAGCCCAAGGAGCCTGTGGAGAATTCCAGGTGGAGAGGAACGGAGGCCTCCTGCCCACTGTCTAGCTGAGCTTCCGGGGGACAGTTAGCATCCTCTTGCCGGATGGATCACACTCAGATCCACTGCATGGAGCGGAGATGAGCTGTTTTCAGTTGAACTCCGTTCAAGGTGCAGATTCATGATCAAAATGAATGACTGTTACTGTTTCAAACTGCTAAGTTTGGAGTGGTTTTGTTACACAGCAATAGATAACAGACACATCTCATTTCCTCCCACTCTAGCTACCACTATCTTTTTTTTCTTCCCTTCCATTTTTCCAACAGGATAGATAAAAGGGGTTATAATAATTTGGTTCAATATTTTTAATGGGGCTTTGGTGCTTTTCTTATTTATGACAGATCTTGAAGATCCTTTAGTTCTATTTCTTTTCCTTGCTGTTTTTTTCATTTCAAAAATGTTTATTGCAAAAATTCAAAAACAAACGAGTATTTAAGTCAGAGCCAGGACTAGGGTAAGGCCATGGAGGTACCTGGGCACCAAATTTAAGGAGGCACTCACTCTCAGGGGCTGACCTGCCCTACTGGGACCCTGAAGATAAATGCCTCCTTAAATTTTGTACCCTATATACCTCCCTTGCTCACTCTAGTCCCAGCCCTGTTTTAAGTCGACCCTACCCCACTTTCTAGATATAACTGTACTGGTTATAGCTTGGGTATATATTGCTCTAGACTTTTTCTAAACATTAACATATATATGTAACAATGTTATAAATTACATTATTAGTATATATGGATATATTACATTTAATAATTTACATTTACTACATTTACATTAAATTATATTTATGTTAAATATATATTTTTTAATGAAGATAGTAATAAATAGTAATATTTATGTTTACAGAAATGTATCCTTGGGCATCTTACGTCAATACTCACAAACTGATCTTTCTCCAGTTGCCCTATTTCACAATAGACATATCCCTTTGTAATTCTTATTGCACATATTTCCCAGTTCTTTTCATATGTAGCTTTATTTTATTTTAAACTTAATTTTTAAAAATTGGTGTTATCAAGTAGATCAAACTCTCACCTGAGTTATTTTTTCCATTGTTCTAATGCTAACAAAAACACTATTCAGCTATGTTTCCCTATGCGTTAGTTTTTACATCCCTGGGACTTATTTCAATGTATGGTGCGAAAATGGGATCTCAACTGAGTTTTCCTCAAACGATCAGTATTCTTAACATCATTTGTTAAACTCTATGACCATCAGAAGTGCTGAGGTTTGCGAACATGATACAGACAGGGTAGAGCAGATTCGAGACAGACGAGATTCCGTTCCCCTCAGACCACAAGCTGTGATTCTGAGGTGGCGGAGGCTCCCAGGAAGACCCTGGTGAGGGCAGGGGGCGCCGTCGCGATGGTGGAGGAAGGGGATTAGCAGTCAGCCCTGGGGCCCCCTTTCCTCCCAAAGAGTCCGCCCACCTCCAGAGAAGGGCCTTTTGCTGTCTCTGTGTAGAGATGAGCAAGTCTTGCCAAAGAAGCACCTGGCAACTTGCCAGCCCAGGCAGGTAGCTCTCCCCCTAGAATCGAAGCAGGTGCTCGTGGAGTCTTCTGCAACACGCCCAAGGCCAATGCCCCCATGACTGTTGCTCTTAGCTTTACCCCTCCTGTTGACAGAGGGCCCCTTACCTTCTCCTGGTGACTTCTAGACGTCCTCCTCCCTGTCTGGTACCCATGACTGGTATTGGCTGGGCCCCTTCCTCCCCGCCCAGCCCTGCATAGGCACAGATGACAGCTAAAGGGAAGGGGCAGAGAGGGTGAGCAGAGGGACTGAGCCCTGTGCACTCCAGTGACCCTCTGGAGGCCATCACACCCCACTCATAACCACGCTCTCCTCTAGGGCAGAGACCAAGGCTTGGGGAGGCGACATCGGCCTCTGCCATGAACAGCCTGTGCCAAGGCTACGGGAAGGAGCCAGGGGAGAGGTGGGCCACCTCTCTGGGACCTCCACAGCCCAGGGGTGGTTTCTGAATGGAGCAGCCCCTCCACCCCTGCCCGTAGAATCCCTTCTGGGTTTTCCCTTCCTCTGTTCTCAGAGAAGCCTCCCCACCCACCTCCCATTCTCTATCCTGCAGAGCACTTAGCACAATCTTCTTTTTTTCCCCCTCACCTGTCTGTCTTTTCCTCTAGAGCGTAAGCTCCATAACACCACGTCTTTCTCCTCTGTTTATCCCCAGCTTCTAGCCCAGTGCAGCACTGGGAAAAAATTTTCAAATGTCTTTTAAAGCTTTTTGCTTAGAATTTCTTGTATTTGTGATTTTCCTTTGTTGGAGTTGGCACGTGCTCTCTGCCTGCGATGTCCTTTTTCCTCCTCACTTTCCTTGGGAACACCCACTCATAGTTCAACAGCCAGCACAGCTGCCCCTCCTCTAGGAAATCATTTTTGAAGTCAGTATGGAACATCCCAGGCAGAGGTGAGTTTGTCAGGCCCTGGAACGAGGACCCTTTATTTTGCAGGGGTCCTCTGAGGACCCTCTCCTGCAGGGGAGCTCTCCTAAGGTGCAGAAAACAACTTGGAAGGACAGGCGGGCGGTGATCAAATCACAGAAGCCCGGGCTTCCAGGCTGGCAGCCCGGGTGGGGGAGGGGACCAGCTGGTGGGCGAAGCTGGTTTATCGATGCTGATGCTGCCGAGAGCCCTGGGGAAATCAAGGTGAAAGGCAGCAGTCCTGTTCAGGAGGAGGCCCACCCCTGTGTATCAATCAGAGGGGCTGAGACAGGGTGGAAAGCTGCTCGGGCCGTCTGCCAGGGGCCAAGATGAAGACGGAGACTCACAACAACCACCAGGGCCCCCTGTGGCCCCAAGTAAGGCCCTAACCCCTGCCTCGGGCACTGTGGGTAGTCACAGAATCAGCTTTTCCAGCCTAGTCCTAATTCTGAATGTCTGAGCTTGGTCTTAGAAAATACGGTCACTGGAGCCGTAAGGGCTGGCTGGTAGAAATCCTCTGCTCTTGGCATCGCGTCAGGTACCAGGTGGTGGAGGAACAGGCGTACTCAAGTGGTCTTGGCTCAGGTGGGGGAGGCCACTGGCCCCCCAGGGGGCCTCTTTCACCCTCTTGTGGGCCTGTCAGCCTGTTAACCAGGGCCCAGTGGGGCGGGGGAAGATGCAGAGATGCCCCAGGAGGACGGAGCAGGCAGGGAATGACTAGAGCGGGGACACAGAGGGAACTCGAGGGAAGAGAGGCTCCAAGCCGCCATCCACTCTCGAGGTCAGGCAGCTAAAGAGGTGACCCAGGGCTATCAAAGCAGGGAAGAGGGGAGGGTCAACCCCTCCCCACCCGGCTGCCCTGGCAGAGGAGCAGGCCTGGCACCCCACCTGCTCTGCCCAGTGCCGAGGCCATCTGAGCAGAGGAAGATGTCAAAGAGAAAACCCCCAAATCGGATTGAGGCTCCTGCTCCCCCTTAATGAGGTTCATTATCAGCGGCTCTGATCCTTGTAAAACCCAGCAGGCCGGATTAGGGGCAGCCTCTCTAATCTGGCTGACTCCTCCCTGCTGGGCAGCCAGTCCAGGCCGGCTCTCACAAACAAGCCCTCTCTCCTGCCTCCAGGGAGAGCGGAGATGTAGGCCACCTGGCTGAGGAGGGTCAGGCAGGTGTAAGCCAAGGTTCCTGGAGCAGGACTGAGAAGGGCTCCCTAGCAGGGTCGGGGGAGGAGGAGGTGGCATTGAGGGGCTCCGGGCACAGAGGGCTCTGTGGGCAGTGGGGGATGGCCCATCCAGGAGTGAGGGGCTGTGACAAGGCCCCTTGATCCCCCCTGAGGTGACTGGATCCCAGATGAGGCTGGGTTCTGCATATTCTATTCAGACCTGTATGGGCTTCCCTGGGTGGCTCAGTGGTAAAGAATGTGTCTGCCAATGCAGGAGACAAGGGTTCGATCCCTGGGGTCGGGAAGATGCCCTGGAGGAGGAAATGGCAACCCACTTCAGTATCCTTGCCTGGGAAATCCCATGGACAGAGGAGACTGATGGGCCACAGTCCATGGGGGTCACAAGAGTTGGACACGATTGAACGACTAAACAACAACAGCAGCAATCCAGACCTGGACACTAGTAGCAAGTTAAAGAACACACCGGTGCTTGCCTTAACAAAATAATTTATTCCACAGCCCCCGCTAACAGTGGAGGGGAGTGGGAATCGAGCCTGCGGACAGCGTCACCCTCCCCTCTGACCCTTTTAACCTCTACACGATGGGAGGTGACCCTCGAGAGGGACAGCGCTCTCCTCGCTCCAGCTCCCCCCACAGTCATAGATTAGCATCTGTTTTGGAGACTAAAATAAAAAGACAGAAGACCCAGATTGGAGAGATGGGTTGAGCCTGATGCAGAAAGCACATTCAGAGCAAAGGCTTCACTGGCCCTCTCACAGCTAAGGCACTAGAGACCCAGACATCCCTCCATAAACCCCACACCCCAGCCCAGTACCGTCACACCCCGGCTCCAGCCTGTGTTCCTCCTGTACCCAAGTTTTGGGAAAGGAGCCAGCCAGAGGCTCTCCTCCCAAAGACCTCACCTGGGAGACCAACATGACTTCCAGAAGCTTCCAGGGCCCCTTCCAAAGCCAAACCCCACCCGGGGGTCGGGGCGGGGGGCGGGTCTGAGGGGCTGGAGGATGGGCAGGCACAGAGGGCCATAGGCAGTCCTTCCTTCTCTGGCACAAAGGGCTGTTTGCAGCAGGATGGACGGAGTCCTGGGAAGCAGGGAGGGGGTCCACTCCAGTCCCGGGGCCCCTCCTCCGGAGAGGGGAAACCTTGGACACTGCAGCCTCATTGGCCCCAGTTTAGGGCCAACGCCAAGCGGGAAACACTGAAGCTTCGGGGAGAATGAGGCAGGACTTCAAATAAGCTGAAAAAGAGGAATTTGGCGCTAAGAGGCTGGGGACGGAGCCTCCCGACCCCGCTGCCCAAGGCTGCCCTTGCCTGTGCTGACAGATGAACCCAGGCCCTGTGCACATCTCCCTGTCGATGGATCATCCCTTTCCAGAAGCCCCGGGGAGGTTTCACTGCAGCAACTGGTTTTTCTGGGTGTCCCTGGACAAGGAAAAAGGTGAGGGGGGCAGAAGGGGCTGGAAGAGCCCGTGGACGGCAGCTTCCTATCCTGCCCCGCTCCCGGGTTGGACAATTCAGGCGGCAGGGAGGCTGGCATAGCCCTTCAGAGCCTTTATCCTGGCCCGGAAATAGGTGTACACGGCCAGCAGGCCCATGAAGGACAGGGAGTAGAGCCCCACGCAGAGGCTAATGTCCAGGTGGGAGAAGTTCCCGCCCAGCACCTGCAGCCACTGGCCCTGGCCCTGCCCAGCCCCAGCCTCAGGCTCCCTGTCAGGGATGCCCGCCAGCTGCTGGGAGCTGTGGCCCATTCGCCCCAGCTCCGAAGGGCCTCCGGGGAGGTTCCTCCCAGCCAGGAACTCGGCCAACAACACGGCTCCTGTGTCTCTCCTGCTCAAGCGCTGCTCCCCCTCTGGCTGCTCCGACTTATCCCTGTGAAGCTCCACTACTTGCTCAGGAGCTCCCGGGTCCGGCTCATCTGTGGCCGCACCGAGGCCAGCCTGCATCTTGGGGTGATTTGCCCCAAGTCCAGCCACTAGCATGGTGGCTCCAGGGGCCTTTATCCCTGAGCCCACGGGGATCTCAGCCTTCTCAGGGGCCAGGGTAAAATTTCTGGTTGCCAGCTCCAGTTCCACCTGTTTGGGGATGACTGTCATCCTCTGTGCACCCCTCCGGGGGCCCGGCCCAGCTGAAGGAAGGTCTAGGATGATGTTGCTTGGGGAGAAGTGGGTCTTCAAGAAGTTGAGGGTGTTGTCCAGGTCCCACACAGGCGCGCCCCGGAGTTCATTGTGGCAGGCGGAACAGAGCTCGCGGGGCGGCCACTGCACCTTGGGGAACTGGGGGTCCTCACTGGGGGCACCTGGGAATAGAAGCACACACATAGGCTGTCTGTGACATGCTGGACACCGGGAAACCCAGATCTCACCCTTCCATTCACGATGCCAGTTCCCTCATCAGCACAAAGTGGGCATCGCTGCCCCGGGAAAGGATGTGCATGCGAGAGGGCAGATAACAGACCTGGCACAGGGCCTGGCCCAACAGTAGTGCCTGTCTGGACAAGGAGGTTCCTCCCCACCCCCGCCCCCGGGACTCCAGTTTCTCCCCCAGCCACTTCCCCGTGTTAACCCACTGTCTCTGTCACCTTCACTGCTGGTTTGTACCCCGGGACCAGACATGGGAAAGGGTGAGAAGACTCAGAAAGATCTGTCTGGCAGGCTTTTTCTGGCAGTCCATTAGCATTAAGCCTCTTTGCATTTTTTCCTGAAAGTTCCCAAGTTTTGCATGAGTAAAGATACATTCTTTTTGTAATGTTTTTAAAGCAAGAGTTCAAGGCACAGGGTAGTTTCCCTGGCTTCTCCTGCACCCCCTGCAGCCCTCTGGGGTAGGCAGCGAGTAGTGGAATTTCTGAGCTTCCTTGGTAATTCAGCTGGTAAAGAATCTGCCTGCAATGCAGGAGAGCCCAGTTCAATTCCTGGGTCAGGAAGATCCCCTGGAGAAGGGATAGGCTACCTACTCCAGTATTCTTGGGCTTCCCTGGTGGCTCAGATGGTAAAGAATCTGCTTGCAATGCGGGAGACCTGGGTTTGATCCCTGGGTTGGGAAGATCCCCTGGAGGAGGGCATGGCAATGCACTCCAGTATTCCTGCCTGGAGAATCCCCATGGACAGAGGAGCCTGGCGGACTACAGTCCATGGGGTTGCGAAGAGTCAGACACGACTGAGCGACTCAACACAGCACAGTGGAATTTCCTCCTCAGGTGGGTCCCAAGGGCTGGGCGCCTGGATGGAGGAAAGGACACTTGGGAAGAGAGACAGGATGTTGCCCTTCCTGCCAGGCCACTGGGGCCCCAAGCGGGGCCAGCTCTGTGGGCAGAGCCCCAGGCTGAGCCCCAGAGGGCCTACCACCAGCCCCTTGCCCAGTGTCACCTGGGGAATCGCAATCAGCCCATCTCTCCTGGAGGAGGCACCTCTCCTGAAGGGTCTGGGCAGAATAAAGCAGCAGCAGCAAGTGATGTAAAAATCAAACGGGTTATTTTGGGGGAGGGAGCAACATGGAGATTCCAAGGGTTCAGTGAGAAGTGATAGTGAGCAGACCTTGCAAAGTGAGCACTCCATTTGCACCTGCTCATTATTGTTACTGGCTGATCTGAAAGGGCAGTCCTAGAGTGAGTAAGGGCACTGGCTTCCTGGACCTCCAGCAGCAGCTGGGCCCCCAGGGAAGCCAAGAGCCTGCAGGTCACACGAGGCTGGAGGCTCAGATGAGCATTTGGCGGCAGGGGCGGGGCAGGGGCAGGGAGAGAAGGGGTGGGAGGAGAGATGGCACGTGTCTTCTTTTGAGGTCCACCGGAAGGCCCCAGGAGATGCAGACAAGGGCAGCCGCCTGCACCACCACCTGCTCCACAGGCTCCTTTAACCTCAGCCTGCCCCAGGCCTTATCCCCCCGCCTCCACCCCCGGGAGGTCTGTCCCAGCCAATTGAGCTTCCCCTTTCCCCGTAGAGCAGCCCAGGCTTCCATCCACAGATGGCTGCCGGTCACCCCTGGAGTTTAATGCTTTTGTCTGTGGGACCCATCAAACTCCTTAACACGGGGGAATAGAAAACACTGTAAACGAGGGAAACGCAGAAGACAAGGCCTCCTCCTATGAGAATGGGTCCTTGGCTTCCAGGAAGGTTTTTCTTCCTAAGCACGTTTTATCATTAGACCCTTCCCAGGGGGGTGGAAAAACCCAGGTCTTTTCTCTTTACTGGTTTGAGAAAGGGGTCAATAGCCAGAAAGCCGAACAGGGGAGCCAGGAAAAGGGACCCCAGCAGCAGGCCAGAGGGAGTGGCCGTGGTGTTGGGCAGAAAAAGAGCAATGGCATTGGAGGCCCAGAATCTCAGGGTGCCGAAACCTCAGTCTCCTCATCTAGAAAATAGGCCTAGTGATGCTGGCATCCATCAGCAGGGCTGGGAGCGCCCGTGAAGGGGCTCCGAGTGTTAAGCAGCACTGTGACACATGGAGTGTTACCTAGGGGGACAGTCAGGGTCCCGTCTCCTGCCTCTGGCCCAAGACTCCCAAGTTTCCCCACCTCACCCTCCCTCTGCAGGAGACTCTGGCCTTGGAGGTGGCCCTTCCTTACCTGCAAGGCGAGCATTGACCTTGTTGTGGCTGGACCAGAACCAAAGGACCGCACTGTTCAGACTCCCGACCCGGTGCATGGAGCCAGCAGCCATCTGCTCAAAGTGGCCAGCGCACTCTCGGCAGCCAAAGAAGAAGCGGACGTAGCCCCGGATGGCCTGGAGGACCTCCTGGGCCTTGGCTACAGGGAAGAGGAGACTGTCAGTCACCGGGGACCCTGCAGGTTGCTTGGCCCTGCCGATCCCACCACCATCCCCACCACATGCTCCTCTGCACAGGGCCCACCTGATGCGGGGACTGGTCTCCTTGCCTACTGCCCCTTCTAGGGGTGGTCATGGCTCTAACTCCATCCCCCCCAGACTCTTAAACCTCAGCCTCCCTTGTCTGCCTCTTATCCAGGCCCTCATCACTTACTCACACTTAGGATAAAGTCCAAACTCACTGTCAGGACACTCAGGCTCTTAGAGATGTGGCTGGAGAGTTAGGCAGGGGCTGGAGCACCCACCACCCGACCTGTGGGTCTCTACCCTGCCCCTCCTGCTTCAGGCTTCCTGTCGTGACCTGCCCTCCATTGCATCTCCTCCCTCAAGCACTACACACCCAGAGCCCATCCTGATCCGGCTCTGCACATTCCCTAATTCGTCTCCATCTCTCCCCAGTCCCCTCATGGCCTCCCGCTGGGCTCTCTGGACTGGCAACGTCACAGGCTCTGAGCCTCTTCTTGCTCCAACAGGGGTTCCTCCCTGAAGATACCACTGCTTCCCCAAACCTGCGCTACTTGAACCGCTTTGTCTTCCACACTCCACACACCTCAGGGCTGGAGGTGGTGGAAGTGCCCTCCCTGCTGTTGGTTGCATCCAGACTCTCTCTCCTTCCTGCAGTGAAACCCCCCAGCCCTTTAAAAGCCTGTCTCCTAGTCCCACCCCTCCACCCACGGGGACCTCAGCACCCTGCTCTCTGTCCTGCTCACCACCACTCCCTGGGCCTTTGGTTTGAGCAACTTTGGTGTCCACACCAAGGTGTGCCTTGCCTCTTACCTCCTCAGTTCCCTCAGCTCCTGTGTCCACCCCCACCACCCCTTATGCCTGCCCTCACGCTCTGTACCTCACCCCTCTCGCCTCCTCCAAGATTTCACTCCTGTCCATATTTTCCTTTTCTATGGCATCATCCATTTCCTCCTTGTATGGGCTCCTTCCGACAGGAAAAAAATAACTACAATAAAGAAAGTTCTCTCTGACCCGACCCATACCCCAATCACTCCCCCAGTACCTCCAACTTCTCCCTGGCTCTTCTCTCTTCAGCCCAAACCACCCAGGCCTTTCTCTCCACTAAACCCCTGAAACAGCTCTTGCCAGCGAGGTCCTCCCCTTGCACCACCTCCCCCAGCACAGCAGCATCCACTCAGCTGCGTCCTCCCTCTTGAAACTCTTTATGTTGGGGGCCTCCTTGAAATTGCAACAGCAGCTCTTTCTTAGTCTCGTTAGCTGGCCCCTGCTCCTTGAGCAGAGGTCTGGAAGCTGAATGCCCCAGAACTCAGGCCTATTTGCACTCTTCTCTGCCCACTCGCTAATGGACTCATCCAGTCCCCAGGTCTTAACTACCATCTGTGTGCTGACGACCACAAGATTTGTGTCTCTGTCATGGACCTCGCCCCAGAGCTGCAGACTCGCCTGTCTGCATCTCCGTTCAGAGATCCCATAGATGCAGACAGTCATGTGTGCCCTCTCCCCATCTACTACCACCCTCGAGCCTTCCCATTTCTCGGCTCATAGAACCATCACCCACCTGACGTTCAGGCCCAAGTCCCGGGTCCAACCAAAGTCCTTGATCCTGCACATTCTTTATCCAATCCCTCAATGAGTCATATCAGCTCTGCCTTTAAAACATACACAAATCTGCCCACTTCTTACATGTGCTCACTCTAGCCCGAGCTGCCACCGCCTCTCCTGGACAAGTTCCACAACGTCCTAACTGGCTGCCCCGCTTCCACCTTGCCCTGCTCTAGCCCACCCTCCACCCAGTCATCTCTCTAAAGCATCAGTCGTGTGCATCCCTCCCCTGCCAATGGTCTCTGGTAGATTCTCATAATGCAGGGGCTGAAATCCAACTCCCTCCCTCCCCAGGACCTCCAAGTGCCCACTATCTCTCCTGCCGCCCCCTCCTGGCCCCCTCTGGTGCTGCAAACACGCCCCACTTGTTTCCTGCACTTGCTGTGTTACAGGCTGAACCGCGTCCTCTAAAATTCTTACGCTAAAGTCCTAACGCCAGTCCTTCAGAATGTGACTGTATTTGGACACAGCATCTCTAAAAAGGTGATTAAGTGAGAAAGAGGTCACTGGGGTGTATCCTACTGCATATGACTGGTGTCCTTGTGAGAAGGGGACATTTGGGGACACAGCCAGAACACCCACAGGGAGGACCTTGTGATGACCCAGGGAGACGACGAGACGACGGCCATCTACAAAACCAAGGAGAAGCCTCCGTAGAACCCACCCTGCCAACGCCTTCATCATGGACCACCACAGGTTCTGTCTTCCTCACAGACCCACCATCACACCTGAAGTGATCTATCTGTGTGTTTACTGTCTGTCTCCTGCCACTGGAATATTGTCCCCTCGAGGCAGGGATGTCTCACTGCAAGCACCACTCTACCCCACCCCTAGCGCGGGGCCTGGCTCTTCAGAAATGCTCTGTAAATTGTGGCTGACAGACCAGCTGGCTGCCGCACACCCGGCCGCTCCTCCAGTTCCCTCTGTCCCCGCACAGGCCATCTCCTCGGTCTGGGACTCCCGTCCGTCTTCCCCTTCACTGACCTCCAAGTCCTGCCTTCCCAACAGCGTGGAGCACTCCCTCGCTCCCCCACCCCTGCACATCCTCCTCTCCCCGTTGCCCCTGGGCCCTGGGACACTGCCTGTCAGCCCTGTGCCCACCTGCCTCACAGTCCACTGGGGGCAGGGCACATCTCTCCCACCTTTGCGTCCTCCAGGCTGGGCCAGGGAGGGCCTGGTGTGAGCCTGGTCCCTCAGTGAACGGGGACTGAACTAGGTGCCCACCCATTCAGTCGTTTCGTGTGGCTGCGGGGCAGGGTGAGTGATGGAGAGCAGTTGCACGGTTTGGGGACAAAACAGGCTGCAAAGGGGACAAGGTTTCCCCAGCTTCCCCTAGAAAATGATTTTTTCAGGGGGAAATACAGTAAAGTTGTTCAGAGTCCATGTTATTAGCTGCATAAATTGTGAAGAAGATATACATTTTTTTCTTTACAGGAGTATAAAAAACAGAACCAGATCTCTTTCATGAAGTGTAAAAATACAGCAAACTTGTGGCTTTGAGAAAGCCAGGGCGCAGCCTCACACCCCTGAGTGTGTGAGGCATCACCCTGGGGGCCATGAGCAGGACAGAGTGGCCCCCAGGCCCTCCCTGCTCTGGGTCCACACTGATCATGTGTCAGCAGCTGCAAACGCAGACTCCCCGAAGCTCAGGCCTGCAGCAGGGCGCCAGCAGAGGGTGGGAGGGGTGGGCTGAGGCACGGGGCTGCCCGGGCCTCCACTCACCTGTTTCCTGAGAGTGGTCTACGCCTTCCTGAGCTGCCTGCACGGTCAGGAAGTGGAACAGGATCCACAGGGAGCAGGGAAAGCCTCGGAAATGCGGCTCACTCCCCTGGCAGCCCACCCAGTTCACCTTCTCCGCGATCACAGTGCCCTAGGGGACACACAGGCGCGTGAGTGCACGTGCGGAGAAGAAACAGGAGCTGTGCGGCGAGTGAGGAGAGCGGCTTGCAGGAGACTGCAGGTCTGCACGCAGCCCTGACACAAACAGTCCCTTCCTCAGTCTATCACCTCGAGGTGGGCGTTTCCCCTCCCCGGGTGGCATCCATCAAACGAGCGGGAGGGCTGAGAGACCATGACACAGACCAAGTCATGTCCCTACTCTAGCCTCAACCTCCCCCTCTGTAGAATGAGCGGTTCATCTCTAAGTGTCCTTCAGGCTTGACCCCCACCCCCCACCACACGTCTGTGAGGTTCTGCACCTCTGCTGCTGGCTGACGTGCCCACCTGTGCAGACAGCGGTGACAGCAGGAGCCCAGAAAGCGCCCCTGGAGAGAAGCTGTGTTGAGGAGCCCGGCAGGCAACAGAGGGCTGTGGTTAAAAAGCTCTCCCACCAGGGGCGTCTCACAACCAGCTCTAAAGCCCCGCTTAACTACTTACTGGCTGTGTGACCTCAGACACACAGAGTTACTTGACTTCTGCTTCTCCATCTGCCCAATGGGAATAGTATCTGCTTTCCACTAATGTTGTGAAGATTAAGTGAGGTCTGGAGAGACAGAGCTCAACAGACAGTGGTTCACTCATGACCAACGCAAGGACCCAACCAAGATCACAGCCTCCTTCCTAAATACGTATTGGTGAGAAGGTCAGAGGGGACAAGGTGGACCCCTACTGCTCCCACAGATATGGAACATGGAGAAGAGCTTCTTTGCCTCCAGGACTCACCTCCTTCCTGCTGTCCAGCGCATTTTTAAAGAAACCATAGGGAATTTTCTTTCTCTGCTGCTTCTTGAGCCAGTTGTTCATGGAGTGCAAGAAGTTCTGGACTAAGGGCCGGCCGCGGAAGTACTATGGGAGCGATAAGCGGCGAGTGAGAAGCAATTCCCTGGGAGTTCCCCTGGGGAGGGCAGTGGGGGCAGGCGGAAGGGGGCTGAGGTAGTTTTCTGGAATGTTCCAAAAGCACCAGGAAAACATCCTGCCTAAGACCCAAATGTGAGGGGAAAAAAACACCCAGATGTGGGCTCCTCACTCACTACCTTTGCCCTGGGACACCTGGGAAGGTGAGGTGGAGGGCTGGGCAGAGGCGCTCAGCGGGGCTGGGCCCTCAAGGCTGCCCCCAACTTCAAGCTGCAGGCTGGGGCCCTGACCCCTGACAACACGCCCACTGGGAGGAAGCCAGAGCACCTGTGTCACTGCCCAGGGTGGCTGGGACCCCTAGACCACACGGGCCTCTGTTCAGGTAATCTTCTGATAGAGCAGCTGATTAGTGAACTGACCAGCTGGGCTGGGCTGGCAAATGGCCTTTCATTTGTATTCCACGGGCTGCCAGTGGCGACCAGGCAGCTCAGGGGCCAGAGCCAAGATCCAAATCTTGATGGGAACTCCCCGTGGTCTCTGAGGAGCAGGAAAAGCTACTCTGAAGATAAGTCAACTCAAATCTGATTAGTATCAGCACTTTAAAACCACAAGGACTCCAGGGAGGAAGATGGATGTGTTGCGTGTGTGTGTGTGTGTGTGTGTGCGCGCACGCATGAGCACACGCACGAGCATACCCAGGGTGGGGGAAGCAGAGAGGGGGCTGCAGTAGCAGAGCAGGTCAGAAAAATCACCAAGAAGGTCAGGAGGACAATATGGAGAAACTTGAGGGACCAGAGCACAGTGAAGCATTCGTAAGAAGATGGAAGCTGGAAACAGGAATGATCCCGAAACAGAAAAACCTGCCAAAGGACCCAGTCCTCTGAGGAAGCCATGGCATGTTCTTATCAAACCTCCAGGCAGCACACGGTCCCCCAGCAGGAGAAATGGCCAGAAAGAATCCTGTGCCTTGACATGCTGCCTCTCGGTCAGCTCACACCGGCCTCTGGGCTCTCAACACAAATTTACAGCTTCAAGTCAGCATTTCTCACTGACCTTCACCCGCTGTCCTGATTAGGAAAGATGACGCCCTCTAAGGCCGCGGTGTCAGGAGGAAGGATGAATTAAGGGGCTCTGGACCGCAGGGAGTCAGCCTGTGCTGGGAGCAGGAAAACTCTGGTGACCACATGCCACCTAGTGGCCAGTCCTGCCAGCTGCTTCCGTGAGGGAACAGGGAGATCCCTGCTGGGCCGCAGGGCAGACCTCCAGCCGACAGGTCCCCAAGGCTGAGCAGGCAGAGGGAGCTCTATGCCCTCCAGGCTTTCTTCGGTGCCCCAGGCACGCAGTGGGCAAGAGTGACGGTTAGCTCAGACACACGTGTGATGAAACGATGCTAGCACCCACCCATGGAGTTTTACTCTGAGAAATACAGATAAGCTAAAGCACAAAGGAGCACTCTGCAGTCAGACACCTTGTCAGAGCTCAAGGAATGGTGTGTGTGCTCAGTCATGTCCGACTCTTTGCAACCCCACAGACTGTAGCCCACCAGGCTCCTCTGTCCATGGAATTTTCCAGGCAAGAATACTGGGAGTGGGAGGCCATTTCCCACTCCAGGGGAATCTTCCCAACGCAGAGACCCGAGTCTCTTGCATCTCCTGCTGTGGCAGGCGGATTGTTTACCACTCGTACCACCTGGGAAGCCCCTCAAGGAATGGTAGCTGCTCCCATTACTGCTACTCAGGAAGAAGCAACCACACAAGGGCAGGGCCAGAAGTCTCTACAGTCTCAGGGGCTGTGCTGCTCGGCTCAGAGGCCCCCGAGCCCGTGCCCTCTGGCCCACAGCTCCCACCTCAACTCTGCCTCTGCCCCAGGGCCAGCCCTCTCCGCTCTGAGGGGCATGTCTTCTGGCAGGGAGGACTTCACCCCAAACTCAGTTCTAGCGCTGCTGAAGGCAGAAGCTCGGTGGGCAGCACTTAAGCCTCGGCCTGGTCAGGACTTTCCTGGGTCGACTCCTTCTCCCTCACACAGGGGTGGGGGGGGGTGCAAACCAAAAGCAGCTCTGAGTCCAGCTGAGAGACTCAAGCAGCACTCAGGTGACAGCCCTGCTGGGAGGAGTCCTTCAGAGAGGACTGGGCTGTGGGGTGAGGGGCGCCTCCCAGCTTCCTGGCTGCCCCTCCTCACGTGTCGAGCAGGAAGACAGCCTACAGAACTATTCCAGGATTCCTCCCCTCTCCTGATTCTCTGGGCCAGCCACCCCGGGCCTCAGCCACTTGAGGACCAAGCGGCTCACAGGGCTGGTGGGGAAAGGCTGTATGATCAGACGGGGCTGAAGAACAGGGGCCCGGTCTGCATGGGACACCTGAGAGGGGCCAAAGGCTGTCTCGGCTGAGACTGGAACGGCATGGTGACGTGCACTCGCCACCTCACAGGGTCCTCGGTGTGACCACCCCTGCCTGTGTCACTAAGCCAAGTGGACCAGGCCAGGTCTGGTGAGGCGGGATGAAGGGCTAGGCAGACAGCAGTTCCCGAGGGAGAGGTGCAGACCACCCCCAGAGGGAGCCCCAGCTGCCCCAGACCTGTGCCAGAAGGAGGGGCTCAGACCTGCCCCTGGGGCGAGGGCGGCTGAGTCAGCAGTCAGCCTCTGAAGGGGACGGAGCCCGCATCTGACTCAGCATCCTGGGCAGCCAGAGCCTTGGGATTTAAGTAGGGCAGCACTGGCAGGGGGCCTGGAGCCACAGAGAAGGGTGAGGGGAGGGAGGAGGCGAGGAGGCGGCAGGTGCAGAGAGAGGAGGCAGCTGGCATCTCATCTTCAGAGACGAGGAAGGAGCACAGCAGAGAAAGAGCCCAGCTCTAAACCTGGAGAGGGGTGTGTGTGTGTGTGTGTGTGTGTGTAAGGAGCACAGCAGAGAAAGGGCCCAGCTCTAAACCTGGAGAGGGGTGTGTGTGTGTGTGTGTGTGTGTGTAAGGAGCACAGCAGAGAAAGGGCCCAGCTCTAAACCTGGAGAGGGGTGTGTGTGTGTGTGTGTGTGTGTGTAAGGAGCACAGCAGAGAAAGAGCCCAGCTCTAAACCTGGAGAGGGGTGTGTGTGTGTGTGTGTGTGTGTGTGTGTAAGGAGCACAGCAGAGAAAGGGCCCAGCTCTAAACCTGGAGAGGGGTGTGTGTGTGTGTGTGTGTGTGTGTGTAAGGAGCACAGCAGAGAAAGGGCCCAGCTCTAAACCTGGAGAGGGGTGTGTGTGTGTGTGTGTGTGTGTGTAAGGAGCACAGCAGAGAAAGGGCCCAGCTCTAAACCTGGAGAGGGGTGTGTGTGTGTGTGTGTGTGTGTGTGTGTAAGGAGCACAGCAGAGAAAGGGCCCAGCTCTAAACCTGGAGAGGGGTGTGTGTGTGTGTGTGTGTGTGTAAGGAGCACAGCAGAGAAAGGGCCCAGCTCTAAACCTGGAGAGGGGTGTGTGTGTGTGTGTGTGTGTGTAAGGAGCACAGCAGAGAAAGGGCCCAGCTCTAAACCTGGAGAGGGGTGTGTGTGTGTGTGTGTGTGTGTAAGGAGCACAGCAGAGAAAGGGCCCAGCTCTAAACCTGGAGGTGTGTGTGTGTACATATGTGTGTGTGTGTGTGTGCCTGGAGGTGTGTATGTATATGTTAGTTGCTCAGTCGTATCCGACTCTTTGCAACTCCATGGGCTGTAGCCCACTAGACTCCTCTGTCCATGGGATTTCTCCAGGCAAGAATACTGGAGTGGGTTTCCATTTCCTCCTCCAGGAGATCTTCCCAACCCAGGGGTCACACCCTGGTCTCTTGCATTGGCAGGCGGATTCTTCACCACCTGAGCCACCAGGGAAGCCAGCTCAGATGAGCTGTGCTGTGTTTAGCTGCTCAGTCGTGTCTATGCGACCCTATGGACTATAGCCTGCAGGCTCCTCTGTTCATGGGACTCTCCAGGCAAGAATCCTGGAGTGGGTTGCCATTTCCTTCTCCAGGGGACTGAACCTGGAACCTCAGTTCAAACCCTGGCCATGACACCTCCTCCCGGGAGGCCTAAGGCAGGTCACTTGGGTAACCTGCACCTCCTAAGGGGTGTAGTACTCGCCACCCTGAAGTGAGACTGAGAGGATTAAATGCCTGATACACATCAGGTCCTCCGTAAGTAGCAGCTGCACTTACATGGCTACTTATGAGGAGGAGCCATGCTGGCAGGAGACTACAGAGGAATGAGGAAGGCATGGCTAAGGCCAGGGAGCTACCTCTGACTCTGAGCCTGAGAGGGGAAAGTAGAGACTCAGAGAAGCCTTCATTCCTTCACTGCGGGGTCCACGGCTTCTCATTTCCCACTGATCACGACAGGGAGTGAGAGGCCACAGTCCAGGCTCGGCCTGAGGTGGAGGACTCAGGCAGGCAGATGTGTGCAAATGGGAATATCCCCCGGGCATCCGGCCCCATGTCCCACCCACCTCCCTGCACAGGGGAAGGGGGTTGTCCCGTGGGTTGGGGGGCGTGTGACTGGGACGGCTGGTGGGTCCAAAGATCCGAACCCAACCACGAGCTCCAGAGGGAGGGGCCGGGCTGACTCCTCCAGGCGGGCACAGCACGGGCCTGCAGGGATGCACATGGGCCCCGAGTGGAGCTGCCGAATGAGGGGCCCCAGGGCCCCGCTCACCTGGGCCAGCACTGCCATGAACTTTTTCAGGGCTATCAGGCGCTGCCCCTCCAGGACGGAGAACTTGCCCACTTCTATCCGGAGGATGTAGTGCAGTGCGGATTCCAGGTCAGCCATGTAGATCTTGGAGCTGAGGACCCAGAGGTAGCCAGGAAGAGAAAGGGGTGATAACCCTGGGGCAGGCAGGAGGAGGAGCACCCAGGGCCAGAGGGAGGGAAGAGGAGGCACTCCCGATGGTCACAGAGTCCTACACACTCGCATTTGGCTCTGCCAGTAACTAGCTCTGTGACCCTGGGTGGATTACTTAATGTCTCTGAGCCTCAACGCCTCATCTGTAAGATGGGGATAGTAACAACTTGCTCACAGGTAGGCTGCTGAGAGGATTAAACAAAAGCACACGTACAAAACCCTCGGTAGCTCCCGGCACAGGGTGGGGTCTTCCCTCTGCAGGCCCACGCCCCGCCCCTCCTAGCACTCACAGAAGACCACGAGAAGGCTGAGCTTCATGCTCTGATCCGAACAAAGACTCCAAGGGGCAGAGGAGTCGACCCACCGGGGCACCCACACAACATGGCTCTGGAGAAGCCGGGCCCTCTGAAAGACCCTGGGTTTGGCTGCCTGCCAAGGGGAAGTGGGGTTTCCAGTTATTTTGACTGCTGTTCTTGCAGCTGCCAGACCATGGGCATCAGGTGGGGATCCATCTCACACCTCGGGCTGACCCCAGCCCTGGGAGAAGGGTTGCGCAGGCTCCACGCTGGCTGCTTCACCCTGTGCCCATCACTGCTCTCGTGGGATCTGGGCCCAGGGCCCTGAAGGACGGGCTGCTTCTTTACCCTTGCTTCCTAACCCTTGGGTTCTGGTCTCGTTCTATGGTGGGCTAGCCCTGGGAGCTTGGGCAACTCAACCCACCTCTCCAGTCACAGTGATCTCACAGGTAAAATGAACTTTTGCCCCACCTGCCTCCCAAGGTGGTGGGGAACCAGCAAGATCAGCTGACGGGTGGGCACTGTGGCCACCTGCGCTTTACCCTCCTGCCCAAGTCCCCTCTCTCTGCTCCCTTTCTCTGTCCTGGGGTCTCAGTTTCCTTCTCCGTTCCTGTGTTCTGCATCAAGGAGTGGCCCCCAACTAAAGGAGTTAATGGACAGAAGCACTGAGCAGAGCCCAGCACATGTGGCTAGAAGTGCCAGCCATCCCAGCAATCTGAATAATCAGAAGAATTACAATTTGAATAATTACAATGATCACACTCACTTTCTCTTTCCTACTCACCTGATTTACTAAATAACTCTCCATTAGCACTTTCCATCCTTAGAGTCCCTCATGCTGGGATGCAAAATCCTTCCTGGAGTCTGATGACCCCACTCCCACTTCTCCTGTGCAGCCCCCTACAGGAGGCTACCCTTTGGATTCAGCTCTGAGCCTCCTGCTCAGCCATTTCCACATGGTACACTCCTGGGGGCCAGAGCAGGAGTCCACAGCCCTATCTCCCTGCCCTACAGGCAGAAATTCTACCCCCAGGGTGGACCTGAAGAGGCTGAGAGAGAAGAACAGCTTCCTTGTGCTTACAGCAGTGCACAAAGATACTGACTATGCTGAAGAAAAGTAGTGAGCTCCCCGACCCCAGAGGCATTCAGGTGAGGTCAGGTGCCTTCCTAGAAGGGATGCTGTGAAAGGACTGTAATCTCTGGGCAGGGACCATATCTGCCCTGCACAATCAGTATTCCTGGTGCCTAGCACATAGCAGGCACTCAAAAATCTGTGTTGGAGAAGTAATTGCTTGGGTGGGAAGTTGTTTTGGAGGCTGCATAGCATCCTCCCAAGCTGATTCTACTTGGTCTTGAATAGAGTTAAGCTTAAGGAATGCGGAAAGTATTCCTTACGGAATGCATCAGAAAGTATGCATTCCATCGTGAAGAACGAAGTCATCAGATGCTGCTGCCCCAGCAGAAAGACTCTGCCAGCAGCCCAGGTCCCCCTAAGGCCAAGGCCAGCCCTCTGGAGTCAGGCTTGTGACAAGGAACAGTGTGTGGAAGGAAGGGGTGGGCCGGGGGTGCTGTGATCCAAGGAGAAGGTGGAGAGGGGAAGGGATGAGGCGAGGTCTTACCGATCTGCAATTTTCCACACGGTGGGAGCTACCAGGCTGGTGGTGGCTGGCGCAGCTGTGGTCTGGACAGCCCCCCTGGTGCTCCCGGAAAACTTCCGCAGGTAAGTGGTGTAGAAAGACCTGGATTCTGTAAGCCTGTGAGGGAAGGGAATCACCGGAGAGAGGCAGTGAGGGCAGAGGAGTGAAACCCCAGAGCTAACTCAGGACAAGACAGAAGGCCGGTGACTCCCCTGATGAAAATGTTTATTAAGAAATACCTGAGTGTATGAGACAAGTGCTCGGGCCTGGTGCACTGGGAAGACCCAGAGGGATCGGGTGGAGAGGGAGGTGGGAGGGGAGACCGGGATGGGGAATACATGTAAATCCATGGCTAATTCATTTCAATGTATGACAAAAACCACTGCAATGATGTAAAGTAATTAGCCTCCAACTAATAAAAATAAATGGGAAAAAAAAGGTAAAAAAAAAATAAAGTCTTTTCAAACTGTAAAAAAAAAAAAAAAAAGAAATACCTGAACTTGGTTTGATCTTATCCTCAGTGAGGTCAAAAGCGAGGCACCCCCGCCTCACGTTAACCTTTCTATTCACTGGCCATGCTGTGCTAAGTCTGCTTAACACCAGTCTGAAGCCAAAATTCCACTTGGGAAAGAGGCTGGGCCTGTGAATTCCTAGACCTGCCCCAGAGAGTGGACACAGGGCACTTTCAGAGCCGGTGGGGCTTCTGGGGAGAGTGCTACTTCTGGCTGCAGACGGGATGATGGGTCTGATGATCCTCCCCAGAGACCAAAGATACAGACGGGCGTGTGTGGCCTCAAGGAAGTGCAGAAGCTGGCTCCAAGGTACCAGAGGTGACATCACGCCCCAAGGAGGTCAACGGAAATTTGAGACTTGACTTTGAAAAAAATTCACAGCCACAACCCGTCAAACCACTGAAATTCTCGTCTCTTCCAATCCTTTTGATTTCCCTGTCTCTTCTCATAAAGAGGAGTCCTGAGGGACGGGTGACGCCTCCTGGTTGGGGCCACTGGAGGGAAGGACGTGAAGCCCAGCCGTGTGATGGGACACCCCGGGGGAGCCAGCATCAAGAAACATTGCTTTCCACTCCACTGTCCCAGCCCGATGTTGATCAATGAGCAGATGGCTCCGAAGCAGCATCGTCACAAACCATTTTCCCCTTCAACAACTCCAAGAGCGGAAACAATGCCTCCACTCCCATCCTGCCTCCTCTCCGGCCGCGCTCCTGACGAGCCCTGGCCCCATGCTGCCGGGTGACCGGGAGGACCAGGGGCCACACTGCCCAGCCCCAGAGCGGGATGGCACGGATGGCCCCGAGAAGCGGCTCACTGGACATCTCGGGCCGGCCTCGGTTTCCCTGGCCCTCGGGCTCCTGCCTGCGGGGCCGGGCGGACATCAATCATCTGCCCGGGGAGGGCACCGAGGCACCATCTGGTGCCATTTAACAGGCCATTCAGCAGCGGGAGCCTGACAGAGGGGCTGCGGCTGGCCTGATTGTTTTCTCTTGGCATTTTGGAACTGACTATTGTCTGGCTCCTAATGAACTTTTCTGCAATTAGAAAACCAAAGGGAGGGAGGGTCAGGCATAGCTGAGTGCTTGCCAGGCCCGCAGCCTGCCAAGGAGTCTGCCTGGGAAGAGAGGAGGGTGGGGAATAGGGCCAGGGCTGCGGTGGGGTTGGTGCAGAAGCACTGGCGCTGGCTGGGTGCTGAGTGCGCTAGGCACCTGGGCCTGGACTGCTCAGCTGGGGGGCGGAGGTGTGTGTGCAGCGCCCTTGGCCCCGACTTCAGGCTGTAGAGCCCCTACCCTGCGATAGGCAGACATCTGCTCCTCCTGCAGAGGGTGCTCCCTGCTTGCCCAGGGACTCCTCAGGAGACTTGCAAGACAAAGAACTCATCAGCCCCTGTGAAAGGCTGGCGGCCTCTCCAGGCAGGAAGAAAGGAGAAACACAGGGACGGATGGGGGAGACGGGTGGAGAGACACTCACGCAGGGACCCGGGAGAAGGAGCCGTTCCGAGACAGCAGGTAGCAAGATGGGAAGCTGGTGACACCAAACTTGTTCACCACATCACGCTCCGTGTTCAGGACCCTGCGCACCGCTATGCCCTGGTGCTGCGACAGGTCCAATGTCACCTGCAGAGACAGGGGGACATCAGGGAGGGGCGGCCACTGGGCAGAGGGAGCCCTGGGCATGCACCTGGGTGACAGCTGTGCTCCAGCCAGACTCTCAACCTTTCCAAGAGTAGGCTTTCGTGATGAGTGACAGCCACCAACCACACCCAACCCACAGCAAGGCGTGCAAACACTGCCGCCTCGGAACTGTGCAGACCACACATCTCGAATCTTTGAGAACAATCCCAATTTAATGTAAATTTCTTTCCAATGAATTACAAAAGGCATAATAAAATGTGGTTTCATTTTTATATTTGTAAGACTTTCTATCTATGTTCCAAATCAGAAAAGCACTGAGACACATGGTTTTATTTTTAGAAAGAATTAAGAAGAAGAACCCGCCTGCCAATGCAGGAGATGTAAGAGACGCAGGTCCGATCCCTGGGTTGGGAAGATCTCCTGGAGGAGGAAATGGCAACCCACTCCAGTACTAATGCCTGGAGAATCCCATGGGTAGAGAAGCCTATGGTCCATAGGGTCACAAAGAGTCGGACACGACTGAATCGACTTAGCACTAGCATTAAGAAGGAGAAATATAATATTAGGTAGTATTTGAGTATGTATTATGTTTTATATATAGATTGCTTCATTTAATCTTTAAAAATAACATAAACTATGATATAGGAACAATTGCTAGGAGACTAAGCCAGGTGGCACAGAATACCATGGCTGCTTGGGTTTAAATCCTGGCCCGATCAGACTAAATCTCTCCCAGACTTAATTTCCTTACTTGCAAAACTGTAATAATACCCCCCTCCAAGAGCTGTTAAGAAGACTGAATGGATTAATTTTACAAGAATGCTTCTAATAAGGACTAGTAAATAGTACATATGTTAAGTATCTGTTTAAAAAATCAAACTCCTATGTACAGTAGAGGCAGAAGCTGAAGCTCAGCAGTGAGATCACGTGATCAGATCACACAGCTAGCAAGTGCCTGAGCTGGGCTATAAATCCCAAGTCAATCTGCCTCCAGAGCCAGGGCTCTTGGCCAGTGTGTCCTCCTGCCTCTCAAACCACCCATCCCTGAGCGCCTCTGCATGAACATGAGACCCGTGCTCCTGATTATTAGAGGGATGGAGGGAGTATAGTGGGGAGAGCTAGTCCAATGAACATTCATCTATCATCTCTACAGGCATGACCCCAGGTGTGGAAGGGGACCCCAGAAGGGCCAGGCATCCTTCAGCAAAGTTCCCTGCTCCTCCCACCTCCATGCTTTCCGTCTCAAGGCTGAGAGGTCTGAAGACAGCTCAGGGTGCTCTACTATGGTTGGTGAGTTTCAGGAGGAAAACTATCCAGAGCCAACAGTGGTGTTTAATTTCATCCCCTCTCTCCTTATCTCCTTGCACTGCCTTGGAACATCTCCTGGGCACTGGCCTGTCCCACGTCTACACCTGGAAAAAGCCCAGGGGCCTGAGAAGTCCATGATGCAGTGACATAACAGTGGGCTGTATACATCAGGCTAGGGATGGATCTTTATAAAATTCATACTCTTTGCCAGCTACTCATCCGTGTTCTTCCCCTATGCTGTCTCACTTGCTGTTCCCAACCACTCTCTGACAAAAGGTAATTATCACCATTTCAAAGACAGGGAAATGAGATCAGAAAAGTTGAGTAACATGATCACAGCCATATCACATAAGTCAGGGGTCCCCAGGCTCCAGGCTGCAGACTGGTGCCTCCTGTCAGATCAGCAGTAGCATTAGATTAGAAATAAAGTGCACAATAAGTGAAATGTGTTTGAATCATTCTGAAACTATCCCCTCCCTTCATGGAAAATGTTTCCCACAAAACCAGTCCCTGGTGCCAAAAAGGTTGAGGACCACTGATCATAAATGTTGGAGTGGAGATTCCAACCAGCCTGATTTTGGTATCTGCTTCACCTGGGAAGGGACCGCAGGTCCTCAAGAGGGACTAGATGCTCTCTGAGGTTCTCTCCCCCCAATTTGTTACTCCACTTCTTTGGAGGCAGGGTAGCATAGGAACAATATGAGCTTTGGAGGTAGACAGACCTGGTTTGAAGTCCTGCTCTACCAACTCACTGGCTGTGTGATTTTCGGCCTGTTATTTGACCATCTTTGTTAATTAGAAAAATTAGCAACTATGTGTGTCAGCAATATAGCAAGGCTTAATAAACAGAAAGTGTTATCATTTTCATTTTCCATGCATATGTGCATGCTCAGTCGTGTCCAACTCCTTGCGATCCTATGGACTGTAGCCCTCCAGGCTCCTCAGTCCATAGGATTTCTCAGGCAAAAATACTGGAATGGGTTGCCACTTTCTCCTCCAGGGGATCTTCTGAACCCAGGGATCGAACTCGAGTCTCCTGAATCTCCAGCATTGGCAGGCAGATTCTTTACCACTGAGCCATCTGGGAAGCCCTCAGTTTCCAAGAGGAAGATCAAAACAGACAAAAAAGCTTTAAACAGAAAGGTCCAGCTCCTACACTCCCCTGCTTCCGCCAGCAGGGGGAAGGCCAGTGCTGGGCTAAGACGTGCACAGGATCAGCCCTGCTCTTGAACTCACTAGGCTCTGTCTCCCAATGTCTATCCAGGAGATGCAGGAACCCTGCAGGCAGCTCACCTCTCTACCCAGGTAGGAGCCTTCCTTTTCAAAGATCAGGGCCAGGTACTCTTCATTGTTTCTTGCAAAGAATCCAGTAATCTCCTCTAGCCTGCAAGAGACACCGCTGGCAGTCACTCTTTCTGTGGTGAGAATAAAGCAAAACTGCTGGTGACAGCCAGAGTCTTGGCAGACACAGTACTGTGGGGACAGCCACACACATCTGCTGTTTTCACACAAGGCTTTGCAGAAGTCTCCATACCAGCCTTCCAGCAGGAGTAAACCAAACATTGATTCTCAAAAGATTCTCTCTCTGTTACCTAAACCTAAACTAATGGCTGGTTCATTTCACCAAGTTATTTGGGTTGTTTTTGCAGAGTCAGGAGTGAGTATGGGCAGTCTAGGGAGGAGACCTGGGGAGGCGAGCTTTGAGACCAGTTATTTCTATGCTCTGGCCCAGGGTACGGCTCAGACTTAGAACTGCAGTTTTTATTGGTCCCCTAAGAGACTGGTGTTTATTAGCTATCAGACACAAGTCTTAGTCTGTGCCAAGTCACTACCAACTGGGAGATTTGCTTTTTCCTCTCCTGTAGCAGGCACAAAAGAGGAATTAAAAAATCAGAAAGTCCTGGGTGCAGGAAATCTTAGAAGCCATTTAACCTTATCATAAGATTCTTAACCTCCTCATTTTAAGACAAGGAAACTAAGGTCCCAGGAAAAAGGTGGAAATTAATAAGTCAAATTTTATTATTCCCCCAAAAATCAAAGGAATTAAGATATAAAGTGTTTTTAAAATGCAGAGTTTCAACAGAAAACAATTACATAATACAAAAATAATCTGTGTCCTCATTTCAATTAAAAAGCAGAACCTCCTCAGACACATAACAGGACATGATGGCCTCTACTTTTATCCTCAAACTGATGATCTGTTTCCCTTCTCTGGATCCAAGGACACAACAGTTGGTTACCTCCAAATTGAAGGTGCAACTTGGGACCAATGGATTCCAACCTAGTGATGGTAAAAATGACATGCCAGAGACGTGGGGGCCAGAGTGTTCCCCAGTGGGTGGATGGATGCTGACAGCTGCTGAGGTGGTAGCAGGTGTCCCCCAGGCTGGCAGAAGGGCAGGCCCTGCAGGCTGCTGTCCACACAGCCCGTCCCCACCCCATTCATCCCCACTCACACTTTTGGAGGAGGCAGCCCACCTTCCATCACATGTCTCTGCCTCCTCCCTAAAGCTCTTTAGAAGGGTCACTTTGAGAGAGGCTGGCAGGTTTACCCAGCTGATTGCTTTTGAGATCCCTCTGGACTGAAAAGACACCATGCGGGAAGTATGGGTATGAGAAAGGGAGACATAGAGACACAGTCATTGAGAAATGTCAGAAGTGAGGAGCAGGGTATACAGGCTGGCCTGGGTGTTTCCTGCAGAGAGGGGGTCTGCTTATGGAACCCCCGAACTGCACCAAGACCAGATATTCAGTCCAGGGTCTCTGGGAGGCTCTCTGGGAGGATGAAGAATTGGGAAAGAGGATAAAAGAATCATTGTGACTTGGACTCAACAGCCACTGACACTTGGAAACACAATCTCTCTGCAGGGCCTCAGCTTTCAAGACACCAGCACACACACTTAGGCTGCGCTAAGCCCGTGTCTGCCTCCTGAGGCCCTCTCAGCCCCCGCAACCTTCACTGTGTCCCACAGCTGGGCACCTCCAGCAGTCCTGGCTGGTCCTTGCATCTGTTCCTTTTTGGCCCCGTAGGTGGGCTGTCTCCTATCTGGAGTTCTCATCCAGAAGGGCAGGATCTCATGTTTTCAATCTCCCTGTCTCCCTAATGGGGGAGTCAGGGTCAGACACTGTGCACCCTGTTATCCTGATTTCCTAGAACAGAGGCAATCCTGAAAGGCTGCCTGAATCCCAGCCACCAGATGCCCTGCAGCGCAGGGGTGGGGTTGGGGGGCTGGGGTGCACAGTCAGTTCCCCCCCCGCCCCAGGCACAGCCACAGCTCAGCAAAGGCGCACCTTCATCTGACGGGGCTTTGTGCTTCTCAGTTCCCCGTCCCATTTCCTCTAAATGGCGTCTGGTCTCCCTCTTTCCTCCCCACGCCCACCCTCTCAGGGACCCTCCCTGCGTCAGACTGTGTGACATCCTGTCTCATTCCTCAAAGGTGCCTGAGCACAGGTAGTGAGGAGCAGAGCAGGTATGACCTGGAGAACCCCGGTCCATCCTTTTCCTTCCCACCCGGTGGGGTGGGCCCTCTCACCCCCGTCAGCCCCAGGAAGTCAGGGCTTCTCCAGCAACGGGAAGCCCTCCGCCAGCTGCTCTCAGCAGCTCCAGGCTCTGGCCCACAGCACGGGCAACAGCAGGACCCAAGCCGCTGCCTGGCCCTGCTGTTCCCACCGCCCTCTCACTGCCAGGCCTGCCTTCCTGCCACCCCGCCCCGGGCCCGCCCCGGCCCCAACTACCTGGCAGGCTCCAGTGGGGGACAGGCCGGGGGCCACGTGTCACTGTGGGACTCCAGCGCATCGATGAGCCTCTCCCGCAGCGTCTGCACATCAGCTCCAGCCACTGTAAATGACGATGGGGTGGGTGAGCGAGAGTGGGGCGGGGGATGAGGAGAAGGGTGCAAATCCCAGCTTCCCTCAGGGCCCAGCGCACAAGCTAGTTCTGAGCAAGACGAAGCACGTGCCAGTCCCCTCCACATGAGGCGGGTGGGGGTCACCCCCCGGCCCTAAGCATGGCAGAGGGACCCATCCCTCAGGGCAGGAGAGACCACCCCAAGAGCCCTCCGCACGCTGTCTGGCTGCCCCTCTGGGTGCCCACCCCACTTTGACACAAGGGCTATTCTGGGAACACCTGACCCCGTTTTCCCGGAGGTATCTTCCAGGCTGGCTGGGGAGGGCCCGTTCAGGAGGACACCCCTCTGGCTTTGACTGGGGCCCTCCTCCCCCTGCAGAGCTGGCTGGGCTCTCTCTCCCTGCAGTAGAAGCCCAGGAGAAGGGGGGAGAGGAAGACGCGGAGAGTGCCAACGGGACCCCGAGAGCCGGGACACCCACCTGACAGCGTGGTTCCTGAGCCGGTCTTGGAGAAGGCCTTAAAGAACTGGAAGCAAACACACAGGCAGGAGTCAGTGGAGCTCCGAGCACCACAGCCGCGACACTTGGGTCTGCGTTTGTGGCCCAGTTGTTTACTAAAAGGGGCGGCTGTGGGGAAATGACTTAACTTTTGTGAGCCTCAGTTTCTCGGTCTGTAAAATGAGAGGAGGAGGTGTCTGCTCTTGGAGAGGATCTGGGTTCCTCCTCCCAGTGTCCTGCGCCCGACCCCTGCCCCCACAGCCCTGGAGCACCCGGGGAAGCTGCGGCTCAGACACTCGACTGGGGGTGGCCTGTTTCTACAAAGCCCAGGGACCCAGCACGTAGGACTAGAAAATAGTTCCTCTGTGAATAAACGATGCAGGCCCATCTGAAAAAAATAAAGGGAAGTCACTTCATACCCCCACCCCACCCTGGAAAATGTCAGCAGCCCTTGGAGGCCGTCTGTCCTGGCTCCTTATCTTGGAAAGGGGACAGGGAGGCTGGCGTCTCTGGCCCCCAAGGACTCTCGGCCTGCCTCGGCAGACACTCCAGAAGGGAGGCGTCTCCAGTTCGGTCCTACTGAAGGTAGGCTTGAGCCCCTGAGAGAACAAGCCTTGTTACACATGAGCCAGGCTAACTCTCCCCATTCACGTGACACTCAGGGCCAGCCTGTCACCCCTTTGAGAGAGAGGACAGAGGACGGCACCTCAGAACCCAGGCTCCCGTCTAAGTGTTAGAGAGCAGCCAGAACTCTGGCCTGGGCTCAGGAGGGAACGGGGTTCAGTTGTCCTGACAGGTGGCTACTTAACTGGGAGGCTGGGGAGAGGTCTCTGCCTGAGGTCCCTAACCTCAGGGCTACCTGTAGCCATCTTGGGCCTCTGTCTCCAACAGCATGGCCGTCCGGCCTGGTCCAAGCTGGTGGCTGAGTGCAGGCCTGGGTTCAAGGCCTGGCTCTGCTACGCTCTTGCTGTGTGACCTCGGGCAATCTGTTCATCTCTCTGAACCTTCTCATCTTTAAGATGAGGATGTCACTGTCGACCCTGGAGAACTGTGACGATTCAGTGACAACTAAAGTGCTTAGCATGGTACCTGGCACAGACAGCAAGAAATCAACACATGTCAACATCATCATCCCCTTCCCTTGTCCCTTATAAATACTAGGAAACACCGATCAGCCGGACCTGTCTGTTCTAGCCATTTGTAGGTAGGAAACTAAAATGCGGAGGCCACCTGTCCACCTCTCCTCCGTGACTAATAAAGATGTGGAGAAGGCACGCGCCTCTCCCCACCCGCAGTTTGCTCCTGCTGACCTCACCTGGACCCTCTTTTATCCTCTTTCTACTTACAGCACTAATATAAACTTCTATTCTGGGTGAAAACCATTCACTGACACATGCCACTTGTATTCCTAATAGTGTTCTTTGTAGCTACTGAATATACTTTGAATTGAGAAAACTATATGCCATCCTTAGACTCGTAAAAACGAGCACACTCTTCCAGGCTTATGACATGAGATCAAGTAGAGAGGGCATGTTATAGGCTGATTTTGTTTCTCAGAAACAAAATAAAAGATGTACCTACTGGGGGTTTGGTTTGCTCACAAATAATATTCCAGACGTTAGCCTCTACAGCTGCAGTTACTCAGAGTGATGGGGTCCTTGTACAGACAGGACAGACTTCAACTTGCTTCCACAGGCGTAAAAACATGACTGACGCCATGACGCCTTAAGCCGTGTGGCTTTTCTGTGGTGATAGTTGCTATTGTCCGTTACTGAAGAGGAGTGTGATGACTCTTCTTCAACCATCAACAGCTATCCAAGATCTGAGCGGGGGCCTTATGGAAAGGGGGTTGGCATGACCTCCATCAAACAGGAGCCCCCCAGACCCGAGCTGAGCCTTCTGAAGGCCGCAGCCCTGGGCAGCGGGAAGTCAGATAGGGGCCTGAGTTAGGGGCTTGCGGGAACTCTTAAGAGCGCCCCTCACACAGCCATCCCTTCTGTCCCAGCCACCTCGCAGAACACTGTCACCACTGGAGTGCTGTTTCCCACACCTCACACTCCAGAGGAACTTTTTCCTATAGATCATTCTCTCTTTCACCTTTCCCCTAGTCTACCAGCTCCTTCCCTAAGCCTACAAATAGACTCAAATCTATTTTTTTTTAAAGTTAAAACAAGGAGAAGGGACAGGAAGGGATGAAGGATGGGAATAAAGGCTTCTCCAGGTGTGGCATGCCCCATCTTCTTGCACTGCCAAATTTCTTAAGACAGTGTCCTCTTCCTTCCCATGAAGCCGGCTGTGGCTCCGGCTCCCATGACTCAGCTGTGAGGGCTCCAGGAAAGCTAGGCTGACCTTCTCTTTGGCCGTCCAGTGACCTTCCAGCCCTTCCTACTCTCTCCGCAATATCTGATGCTACTACTGCCTGCTTCTCCTCCCCTTGGCCAGGGTTTTCTTGGGCCACATCTTCCTGACATTCTCCATCTCCACCTCATGTCATCACCCTCCCTTGGTTTGCCTGACACCACCCAGGCCTTCGTGGTCCATCTTCACGGCCTTCCCCTCGCCCTTGTCTCAGCCTCGTCCTGGGCTCCTCCCCTGTGCCCATGGCCCTTGCCATCTCCAGCCCATTTCTCCTCCCACCGGGCATCAGACCGTGGCACTCTTCTGTTTAAAAAGCCCAGGGAGGTACTGTCACAAACGAGGGGCTCAATCTCTGCTTTTGAATGAATGAGTGAATAAACAGGTGAATGGACAGACAAACCCATTATTTGTCTCCCTTGCTGATGTCATCTACTTTGTCCAAACGCTTTGTGACCTGAACCCTGTCTCAGATCCTCACCTGTCTTAACTTCTCTTTCTTCCAGATGTCACGGCACCCCTCCCCCAATACATACACACTCTGGGAGACTGAGTCACCCCTCCCCCAACCTGTTTCTCCACCCAGGTTTCTTATCTCACCCAGCTCCTCCCTGCCACCCAGGATCTCCCTCTCCCCCAAGCCCTGTGTTCTGTGAACCTGACCTTTCTGATACCTCTTCTGTAGTCTTCAAGACCAGACGCCTTGTCCAGAGTAGGGCCTACCACCTACTTCCAGGACCACTGCAACTGTCTCTATCTGTGCTGCCAACTCAGGCTCCAGAAACAGTAATATGCTCCATCTTTTCATTTTCCAGCCATCACCCTCACTGCCACTTTGCATGGATTTCTAAAGGATAATTCTGGTCTGATCATGTCACTTCTCCTAAAAAGCCCTTCCATCATGCCCTACTGCCAAGGAATAAAGTCCGAACTCACAGCATTTGAGGCCTTCCAGGATCTGCCCCCAACCACACCTACCTCCCACTGCCCCCCACTTCTTACATTTCAGCTATGATGAACTTGAACCTGAACTTTCCACCCATCCGCCTCCCAACGGGGAGGACAGGACGACAGTTTCCTCACCTCTACAAGCCCCACAGTGCCTGGCACAGTGTCAAGGACAGGGAAACACTCAAAGGATATCTGTTCACTTGAATAGAGAACCTCTGCCCTTTGATCAGCTTGGAAGCTCATGTAAAAATCACATTAAAATCGAGTCAGGGCACATTTTTGTCCTCTTATTAATATGCATCCTTATTAAGTCAGCTGTTGGAGGGGTGTGCCGTACCCAAGGGAAAACACCACCTTCCTTGGAAACAGGCCATTAAGATGCCAGCAGTGAGTTTTCTTTCCTCCAGGAGCAGTCAGCACCCAGTCCCTTTCCTCTCAACACTTTGCCCAGGAGTTTCTGCCTTCCCCAACCATGGGGATCTCCCCAAAGGCGGGTGACCGGATGGCCTTGGGCAGGTCTTTGCCAACCTATCCAGGAACAGCTGCCTTCCCAGGGGGCAAATAAGGCTAAGCAGGAAGTACACTTGCCAGTGGCAACCATCAGTGGCACTGAGTCCAAGCCTTTGAAACAAGTTTCAAGGCAAATAACCTCCAAATATCTTACAACGAGCCTGTAAGATATGCATGAGCTTAACGGTTCCTACTCTATGGACTGTCCGTGGAGGAGATGCCTGGGAGAGTGTGAGTGATTGCCGAGAGGGGACCCATCTCCTTTTCCAGACAGGCTGGAGACATCTTTCTGAGTCCTGTCCCCCAATCCCTAACATCTCACCATCTAACAAAAGACACGTAAAATAACAGCCCAGACTGCAACCCCTACCTCCAGCCTTGAATTCCAGGACGGGCCATCCCTGGGCTCCCTCTTTCCGGAGGCCCTGCCTCAGCACCCACAGGAGCCTCTGCTCCAGCCGGATCAGCCTTCTCAACTCACCACATGGGTCTGCCCACAGCCTCTGCCCTCACATCCTCCCCTGCCCACGCTCCTCCTTCCTCCCAGCCAAACCTGATCTGTCCTTCGCCCCCTGCGGAAGTCCCCCTCCTCTGGGTGCTTCTCCTCCTCCCACATGAAGGCCTCTCTGACGTGGGAGGGAGAGTTAAGTGAGCCCAAACTCCCCCTGCGTTCACCATGGACACGTCGCTCCCTGCCTGGCAACTAGCTGGGTGCTCCGGTGCCCCGCGGACAGCACTCTCCTGTCTGGCAGGCCTCGCTTATCTTTCTGGCTGTGGCTTACACGTCTGGCCTCTCTGCAATGGTGAGCACAGGGCTGTATCTGCAGAAAACACTCACTCCACAGCTGCTGGTGGATGGACTGCCTCAAATGAGGCATCATGGAGGGGCTACCACAAGCCCATGGGCAACCAGAAGGAAGACCACTACGATTCATGGAACTCTGGTGAACACCGCAGTGCCTTGGCACTCTCACAGGTAAGACCTCATTTCACACGTGGCAACAATCTATTAGGGAGACATTATCATCCCATTTTTCAGACGAGGAAACTGAGGCCGGTGGCTAGGGCACTGTTAAGCAAACTTTCCGAGTCACAGTAAGCAGTGAGCAGGGGAGCCAAGATTTGACCTCATGTCAATTATCTCCTCAGAATCTTGCAAAGGGAAGACTTTTGTCTGCTCCCACGCAAGGCTGCTGCTTCCTGTAATCTGGATCCCAGCCAGGCCCTTGGCTGCAATGTTCCATTACCCACTGAGGGGCACTCCTATGACTCATGGCAAAGCCTCCCTGACCCTAGGTTCCAGCCTCTAGGTCCCCAAGCACAAGCCAGAACCTGCTTCCAGCTACCCTCTCCCTCCCTCACCTCTTTTCTCTTCCAGCTGGGCACAAGCTCCTGTCTGATGGGGCCCTGACGCAGCTGGCCTGCCCTGCAGGGCCAGCTGTTTGCTGAACAGGATGGGCTGGTGGAAGCTGTTTGCTCAGGGTGACAAGGGACAGGAAGCAGAGGAAAGGGACAATGACACACGTCACTGGGGGTGGCCCGTCCCCTTTACACCAGCAACACTCTCTCTCCCACCTGTTCATCATCTTAGAGCTTTCAGCCTTCATGGGTGGGGCGAGGACAGGCTCCAGTCCCCAGGGGACCAGGGCTGTCTCTCTGGCCAGCTGGCAGCCAGGGCCACCTCTGGGCTCTGCACTGCTCATAGGCACACTGCGCTCTCAGTAGGCCAGAATTTCTGGAGATTTGGAATCTGAGTAGTGTTTCCCAAACACTAGAAGCGGTAAGCTGTAAACTTAGTGAATCACAGCCAGTATTTTTTTTTTAAATAAAAGAATAGAAAATATCACTGTATACTGCACTTACTAAGAATATTGTTTTATGAAACGACTGCTTTTAGGGATAACGGATCCAAACTGACTTCTGGATCTCCTTGTAAATATTGCTGGCCACAGTACCAAGATTTGAAAGCCATTGCTTAGGGCCTTAGAGCTGAGATGCACCAGTAGCTAGAGCTACATGCGCTCTGGCCCAGAGCTCTGAGGACAGGCCACTGAGTGCCTCTTCCTGCCAAAGCTGAACTGCGGGCTGCCTGGGAGAGGCTGAGAGGTCACCACACTGGTCTCTGGAGTTCTGAAGAAATGGACAGGTGACTACCAGCCCCGCCTGGCCCGGCCTGGCGCTGCCCGTGTGGAGGCAGGGAGAGATCAGGGAGCCCAGCTCAGGGGCCCTCCCAGCACCCCTCCCACAGCCAGCTGGGCGGCTGGGGAGATGATGAATCACTTGAGGCACTCGGGCTGCGTGTGCTGCGTGACTCGGGTAGGCGCCGAGAAGCTCTGGATCTCCTGGTGTAGCTGGGCCGCCTCCTTCACACCCATTGAGCCCCAGCCTCTCCCAGACAGAAACAGAATGTCCCAGGTGCCAGGCCCCGTGGAACCCCCCAAGAAGGTCCCGACCTGGCCACAGGCCCATCACCAACCCTCCTCCCGGGGGTTGGGCGGTGGCTGGACCCCTGTGCAGAGCCCTCAGTGAGACCAAAACTCTGGCCTATGAACAGGGACTCCTGCCGTCACCCTGACTCCTTCCCTCAGCTTCCCACGAGGCGTTGCTTGCCCTGACTCGGCAGAAAGAACAGAAGGCTCCACGCTGCCCCTGGAGAATAATTTTGAATATTTCAAGTTACATATCTTGGGGCTGGGGATAGGGCAGCGGCCCCATCATGGGAATCTTTAACATAAAAGAGATGGTTGATAGATAATGTCTCTGCTGCCACCTCTAAATGATAACGGCAGCAGCTGCTGGCTCAGGACACCTCCCAGGCCAGTGGAATGGGGGCTCGGGCCCTCACCCTAAGTGGTAAACAGGAGTGCGGGAGGGAGCTCTCTTGGGCCACAGAAACCCTGAACCCAGCAGGAGGTCACCGGCCATGAGAACAGGACCGTCTCATGGACTCAGAGCTGGAAATGGCTGGAAGAGAATGTGGACTCAGAGCTGGACATGGCTGGAGGAACCCAGGGTCTTGCTCTCCAGAGGAATTTTCTGGGTGTCCTCCGGCTCAGATATGGTTCACAGTTCCATCTGGCAACTGAAGCCCCTGAACTCAGAGTCCTCTTGTTCTGGGGACAATGTTTGACTTTTCAGTCTTCAAAGGCATTTCCTGCTTAATCCTAGTGGAAGCAGAGGAAACTGCTTTTCTAGATGCCAGTCTTGGGGGAGCCGGCTAATCATCTGTGGCTGGAGAGAGAGATGTGGATTCTTTCATTTGGAGGAGAACTAATTGGATTACAGCCGGACCTGCGCCCTGAGGAGGTGCTGCTCTTGGCTTCCCAGGGCCTCCGACCTGAGAGCCTTGGAAGGCGTCCAGATGCTAAGTGGTTGATGCCCCGCAGTGGGCAAGCAAGGTCTCATCAGAGCACTCACGCTGCTTGCAGCCAGAGCCGGGTGACGGGCCGTCATGTGTCGGGTGTGATGATTCCCGTGATGGGTATCCCTGCAGCCTGAGGCATGGGGCTAAAACTCTCCGACAGGTCACTTCCGAGCCACTCAGGCTCAAGGCACTGGCCTGAGGAGGATGAGGCCTGCCAGTGTCTCCCGGGTCCTTGTCGGGGAGACCATGAGGTCCCCTGAGTCTGATCCTGCCCCCAGGTGTGTCAGAGCCTAAACCCTGGTTTCACATGGTTGAGATCAGCCCTCTAGGCCTGGGAGGTCAGTGGGGGTGGGGGGAAGAGTTGATTGGAAAGAGGCTCCTGGGAGCTGGGAGCTCTCACCAACCTAGGGGATGATCGCTTTTCACAGTGAAAATCTGTGGGTCCCAACACGACAACACACAGCCCCTTCTCCCTTTTTATAAAGGGGAGAAGGTCACATACCAAGTGAGCCTCTTTCTTTTCTGCCTCCCAGTTCACATGCCTTTCTGCCTCTAGAGAAGGTGTCTCATCAAAGCACAGGACTCCAAGGGCTGGGATCTAAGCAGGTCAGGCCCAGAAGCCTGGGAGGACCCCCACGGAGCTCAGCCAGGCAGATGCCAGGGAAGCACGGGGCAGCTGGCAAAGTGCTCCAACGACTCTGCCCCGCCAGGCCCGCATCGCCCCTCCCGGTCACATACCCTCACGGTTGGGAAGCCAGGGATGTTGAAATCTCTGCAAACTGCGCTGTTGGTCTCCTCAGCACAGTCCAGGGCAGCGAGATTCAGTGCCGGCCTCCAATCTGAAATGACAAAAAAAAAAAACCAAAAAAACCCTGGGTAAGTACAATCCATCCCTACCAATGCCCATGACACCTGTCCCAGAAGCTCTAAGGAGAATGGTCACTCCTTCTTCAAAAAAGGGCCTCTGAGATAGCTGGGTTATTCTGCATTTAGCCTGTGCTTAGGGCACAGTTACCTAGCACCAGCAGCCTACTCAGGAAGGCAATCTGTGTCTCTCCATTATTCGGGGGGGGGGGGGCGGGGGGAGGGACACAGGGGCTGAAGGGAGGTGTGAGACCAGACTGGCCCTCCTGGGGAAAAGCCTCTGGGATGTTGCCTCAGCCCCTGCTGGCCTCTAGAAAGGGTCAGCTCCAGAAGGGTGAAGAGCATGCCTCTGGAGTTCTGAATTCCCCAGTGGACCCTCGGTGAAGGCTTCTGTGGCCAAAGGGCTGGCTGTCAGCCCCATTTGGGTGGGTGGGACATAGGGCAGTGAGGAGAGGCTCCCCAACCAGAGATGAAGGCAGAAGTCTAGAGGAAGTGGGTGAAGACACCTGGGGTCTAGAGCCGCTGGGAAAGAAGCCCTGAGGCCAGGTCTGGAAGGAGTCGAGCAGCTGCCCAGGCCAGTTGCTTGGGCACCCTGCTCCTTCGTCAGGCCCCAGGCCATGAGTCTCCCTCTGCGGGAACTTGCTGGCAGAGAGAACACGGCACCGATCTGGGCCGCAGCCCAGGATCTGAGAAACAGAAAACAAACTCATCAACCAGGCAGGCCTTGTGAGCTCTGGCTCCAGGTCAGGTGCCCCCAGAGTACCCACCAAAGTGCCACGTTATGGTGAGGCTGCTCCTGTCATACGGGAAGACAGGCACATGAAGCTGCACAGACCATGAGGTGGCAACTGAAGGGTGGTGCCACGCGGAGTGGCACGGGGCCCTGGAGGAATGTGGCCACAGGAGAGACCAGCCCTGGGGACCATGCAGGGGCCCGGCAGGAAAGGTGGGAGTCAAGGGGAGCCTTGACAGTCATCGAGTTGCCAGGGAACCAGGGAATGGGGTGGGCAGGCGAGGAGCAGGTGGACTGTGAGGCCGTGTACACAGACCAGGCCGGCTGGAGAGGCGGCGCTGCTGGGAGGTAGGCAGGGGCCGGCATGGGCATGCAGACAGGGGGTCTAGGCTGACTCCCACAGCACCCTGCAGCATGGGCATTTCTGGGCAAGTGAGGGGAGGAGCAAGCCCACCCAGGGATTCGGGGAGCCCACATCTTCCCCACAGGGCCCTTCACCTCCCATCTGGGGCATAGGATGGGGTGGGGTGGGGGGTTGACACAGGCAGCCCACCCAGTACCCACTAATGACAGAAGACTAATATCCAAATAACATCCCCAAGACCCAGGGACCTCTTACCTCACCCCAGAACTGTCCCTTATGACATCTGAAAAACCGTAGGATCTCCCAGGAACTTTTTATGCCCAGAGGAGAAGGGTTACCCTCACTTCCATGACAGAAGAAGCAGGATACCACTGCATACCCTGACCCAGCCCTCAAAGGAAAGGCTCGGAAGGTTCAGAGCAGCCAAGCTGGTCCTTCTAGGGGTGACACAAGGGAGGGGGTCTGGGACTGTGAGGCAGGCCAGAGGCAATGCCAACTTCCTCCCCATCCCTCTCCTCCCTCTGCTTTCTGGTTGGCAGTCTCTTAGCACCGAATCCCAGCAGGAGGGAGGGGTGAAGATGGGGGAGTGGGGCATGAATGGAAGTGTTCTGCAGAAACAGGTGAGCCCCAGCCTGTGATGCCATTTCCCCAACGTCCTCCCATCTCATCAAACCCCATTTAGGGAGCTCCTGGCTCCCCTGGAACAGAAGGGCAGCCTTTTGAGCTATAAATGCCTGCCATCCCGAATGGCCTGTGTCCTTTGGTCTTACATCTAGCTGGCGGGGCGGCCTGCACGAACAGGGCTGTGGTCAGTGATCAGGGTCTGCTCCGTGCTAGGCTTGGGACAGCAGCCCTCCTGCCCTCCCTGCCATTCTGCTCTCCCCGCCCCCGCCCCCACTGTGGGCACCACGTGGGAGGGACAGAGTCAGGCAGTCCAACCATGCGGAACCGCTAATCCCAGCCAACTTCCATGTCCTATCCACCCTCCCTTGCAAGTCTCCTCCTGCCCACTCCCTAGTCTAGTCTCCTTTCCCTGCTCCTGGGTTCTTTATCTCTAACCTCACCTCTAACCACCCTCCCAGTGAGCTAGTGCAGGATTTCTTGTCCAGATGAAATGTCTCATTTCCCTCCTGGCCAAGGTTCTGCTATGCTCTATCACCGGCTTAGCTGGGCTCCAGTGATCTTTCCTATCTGCAGATCTATGTCACTCTCTATTCAATATTCTTTGGTGGCTCCCATTGCCTCTAGAAGAAAACCTATAGGCTTAAGGCCTTTTTTGGTCTGGTTCCTCCCCACCCAGCATCCCCTTACCACTTCCCCAAATCATACCGCAGGAACTCTTGAGAATTTTCTTCTTTCTTAAAAGCACAATGCTCACCCAGATTACTGCACGGCCACCTTTACCCTTCCAGCAAACTTCCAGTTGTCAGTTGCAACTCAGTTGGAACAGGATTTTCCCCCAGAAGGAGTCATCTTCCAAGCCCAAGGCTCAGGACCCTGTTCTCATTTCCACCACACAGTTCCAAGCCTGTCCATCCCACAGCCTGTCCATCCCTGCATCCTCCTTGCCGAGCTTCCCCATTACCCTGCACGCAATAGGTGCTCAGTGACTATCAAATGAATTACACAACTGACCCCAGTCCAAGGGCTGCTTCAAAGAAACCACCTGCCAAGGCAGCACTTGAGTTTGATCCCTGGGTGGGGAAGATCCCCTGGAGGAGGGCATAGCAATCCACTCCAGTATTCTTGCCTGGAGAATCCCATGGACAGAGGAGACTGGCGGGCTACAGTCCGTGGGGTTGAAAAGAGTCAGACATGACTGAGCAACTTAGCACACAAGGGCCACTCCAAGGCTGGAACATCTCCCAGACGCATTCTATCCTCAGGTTCAGGTAAGGAGTAAAGTTAATGCCCGTCACCTGCAGGAGCAGGAGAAGCAAACTGCCCAGGGATGGGATCGTGCCCTGGATCACAGACAGAGCACCCTAGAAGTCCTTTCTATGGCACCTCTCCTGCCCAAGGGAGGCCCAGCAAAGTGTAAGAAGCACAGGTCACCCCGTAGAGTCATCTAGCACATTCCAGGCTCGGCTTCTTCAGCTCTATACCTAGGGCTCTGGTCATTTACTTCCAGGAGACCCCCAGGAAAGATGCAGCTGTTCTCAAGAGAGTCAGCAAGTCAATTAGATCTAAGGGCGGAAGAGAGACAATTTTGAGTCCTTCCAACAGTGAGGGCCCCTGGCCAGGGGTCTCACGGGGCCACTTGGCAGGGTGACCAAGGACAGCAGGCCTCAGCTGCTCCTCTCCTCTCAGAGAGCACAGGCCACTCTCCCTCAGGCCAAGTTGTTGCTTGCGGCTCGCTGGGGAATGAGGCTCTCAAGGGACTGCCAGGGGGGTGGTGGGGGGTGAGGACTAGTGTTCAAAGCTAGTGCTCCATGAGCACCAGGGCACGCTCCAGATTCTCTCACCCCACCAGCGCCTCAGGCGCCATTTCCCCTTGCTCTCCAAATGAGGACAGGGACCAAGAGGCCTCCAAGGGGCCCAAGGACTACCAGACCCAAAAACCCACTTTCGTCCCTCTACCTCACCAGGATCAGGACGCTGCCTTTGCGTTTTTGCTGTTTGCTCTGATCACAGAGGGCTTCCCTGGTGGCTCAGCATGTAAAGAATCTGCCTGCAATGCGGGAGACCCGGGTTTGGTCCCTGGGTTGGGAAGATCCCCTGGAGAAGAGAAAGGCTACCCCAATCCCTGGGTTGGGAAGATCCCCTGGAGAAGGGAAAGGCTACCCACTTCAGTATCCTGGCCTGGAGAATTCCATGGATACAGTCCATGAGGTTGCAAAGAATTGGACACGACTGAGTGAATTTCACTTCACTTCTGATCACAACCTTCCCCATGAGAGAGAGAATGGTTAAAACAGTTTCCTCTTCTAGATACATACCATTTTCTGCAACACACAAGGGCTGGTCAATATCACAGACTCAGCCCTTACTCAGATGATGATATCTAGCAGGTCAGGTTATTGTATGCCTTATTTATGTAGTTTAATGTGCACAACTCCACTATGAAAAAGGAAGAAGGTATTTAGCTCTAGACCTGCTTTCTCAGACTGTAAAATAGAGATCAGATAACTGTGCCCAAGGCACACAACTAATCAGTGGTGAATATGGGATCTGAACCCAGGATTTGAGCCTCTCTGCTCAGGACACAACAGAGAGCTGCTCTGTTCAGCCAGGAAACTCAGAGGGGACGGGGTGGGGAGGGTGCTAGTAATGGGGACGGCCGAGGTCGGGGCTGGGGGGCGGCGGTGCTAATGCGTGGGAGTTCTCAGCTCCTGGCTCCTGGAAGCCTGCGACTCTTCTCTTTATGCCTTGATTCCCTGTTACTCCAGGAAATGGAAACCCGGTGCCTCTTCTTACCAGCCCCAGCCCGAGGGGAGAGGGACGCTGGGGCCAGTCAGGTGCTGGGAGAGTCCAGGCTGAGGAATGTTTCTCAGGAATATCAGTGTCAATACCTTAATGAGCCATAACAACCTACACAGATCTGGTTTGACACTAGTCACTGCAGGTCTGCCGATTCATCATTCTAGTAACAGCACCAGGAATAAAGAGGGCCTTATCTGGCCAACCCGCTGGTAAAGCTAAGCCACATTTAAGGGAAGTGCCCTGCTGTCAAAAAGGAACACAACTGGGCGGGGGTGGCTTTCTAAGGTGTTGGGTGACTTAATACCACAACCTGCAGGCCTGACACCGAATAATCAGCAGCCTCAGCCCAGCCCTCCTCTCAGGGGAGAAAAAAACTTCCCTGTACAACTACTGCCCTGGCAAAGTAATCTCTCCACTGACAAGAGAGTAAATGAGCAAATGGAGGGGATGGGAGGGGAGGTTTAGGATAGGCAGGGGACAGTTGTAGACCTTGGGGTGGTGGGAGAGGAAACACCTTGTGGTGGTGGGAGGGGGGTGGACCCCTTCTGGAGTCACGGGCAGCGTCCCCACCCCCACTCACAAGGCCAGGAAGGGGCACTGGACCCAGAGTGACAAGGCCTGCTCACGGCTGTCACTGGCCGAAGCACCATGAGCACCTCACGTCTCCGCTCTGGGTCTGTTTCCTCACAGGTCAAAGAGGACCAAGATGAAGGTCTCTCACGTCCTTTCCAGCTCTGAAAACCACTCCAGCCAAGGAGAATGGCTGTGACGCCTTGGAGGGTGACGCAGCCTGGGCCTCTAATCAGGCAGAGGCCAGGCCTGCCCTGGCCACTGGAGCCAGTCAGGTGGAGAGGTCAGAACGAGATCCCACCGGAGCCTCCGGGGAGTCCTCCTGACTCAGGGAGCTGGAGCCGGGCCTAGGCGGTTCCCACCATGTCTTTTCCTCCTTGTTGCCAGCTTCTGGGCCATGAGACCATGACATGGCCAAAATGGCTTCCCCGCCCCTCACACCTGGCTGACACCCGGGGCCTGAGTCAAGGCGAACCACAGCAGCAGCAGAAAGCCTGCTTCCCATGGCCTCATGATGGATCCTGTGAGGCTCGTGTCCCCGGTCTGCACGGGTGTTCAGTGAGCGGCTGCCCTGGGTCAGGCTCTGCACCAGTAGCACAAGGGTACCAGCGGGACGGAAGGACCACGCCTGGGAGAGAAACAGGGGAACCAACACCACTCGCTGTATCTCAGCACCCACGTCTCACACATCTCATCTCCTCGCTCTTCACCTGCAGTACCCTTCCTCCTTCCCCCCATCACCACCTGGCCTAGCTCTGAAAAGTCAGGAGGAGCTGGGTGCAAGAACCTCCTCCATCGCAGACACAGAGAACAGAATTATGGACCCGGAGCTAGGTAGGGGGTGCGGGGAGGAGGAGAGGCTGGGACTAACAGAGAGAACAGCATGGAAACATATACAGGACCATATGGAAAACAGATAGCCAGTGGGAATTTGCTATATGACTGAGGAAACTCAAACTGGGGCTCTGGGACAACACAAAGGGGTGGGATGAAGTGGGAAGTGGGAAGGAGAGGTTCAAGAGGGAGGGGATGTATATATATACCTATGGCTGATTCATGCTGATGTACGGCAGAAACCAACACAATATTGTAAAGCAATTATCCTTCAATTAAAAATAAATACATAAAAAAAAAGAACCTCCTCCAGCATCTGTGTAATCCTGGACAAGTTACTTAACTGTTTTGTTTTGTTTTGTTTTGTTTTAAACAGGGCTATCTGTTGCTCAGATGTTTTCTCACAAAGATTGTATAAAGGCCTGTAATGGCCTGTAAAAGCCCTTAGCACAGTGCCTGGCAGAAGGCAAGTGTGTAATAAATAACTGTTTAGATAAAGGCCTCTGTGACCTTGCCCTTCCCTGAATTCCCGCAACAAGAAATGGCTAAGCCACGCTCTTTTGGCCCTTTTCAAATATAGCTTCTAATGGGTGCTGATTTCCCTGCTGGGTGATTTACCCAATAGTAATGTAAACAATGCTTTGTACACAGAAGTCACTCAACAAATATTTGCCGACTGATTAGCCAGTAAAGAAGCCTGAAGGTCTAAAAGGAACACAATTTCCCAAATGTATGGTGAGGTAACAAGAGCTGCTCTGGAATAGAAAGGGATGATCTGAGTCCTTAGAAACAGGTGCTTTGCCCCAGGGTAACAACCACCCCCAGAGAACCTAGCCCACAGGTTACTGAAGAAATAAGCCCTGGCCAGTCAGATTAAAGGCCTGAGGCCAACTGAGCAGGATTGCACAATTTTCTTCCCCCTTTCCTTCTGCCCATGACCTTCCACAGTCTCACTGCTCCTACCCAATACATTCATAACAAAGGCAGAGGGCAGGGGCCTCTGGCCCCTAGGCCCAAGATGGTGGGAGAGCAACCCTCTGCTGGTCCACAACCAAACTTTCTCAAGGAACCTCAGAACACAGAAGTGTTGAAGGGCCTAACCAGGAAACACTTCCTTGGACTGGAGTGGAGGCATTCTTAATCACTGCAACACAACATCAGATTCGACAAGTCGTTTCCCCTGACCTGATCCTGCTTAGGGAGCTGACACCTCCATGGCTCATGGGAGACTCCAGGACCTAAATCTCCCACCTCTCATGGACTGTGGCTCATCTCCATAGACACCATTTTCCTTTCTAAGGGTAAGTTTTGACTTGCTTTTTTTAGGGAAAGACTCTTACTTCCTACAGTGGGGAGAAGACCCTCATCCAGGAGTAGGTGGGGTCAGTGTCCGGATGTACATTCACTGGAAATCTCTAAGTTGCAAGAGAATGAACTCATGAATCAGCGGTAAGGTAATCTTTCTTTCCATCACTCTCAAGATCTAAGAATCTTCTAGATGGGGGACCTCTTACGGCCTCAAAGTGGAAACTGACTTAGGAGTTTTAGACACTCAGGCCCACAGTGTCCCCTGAACACCTAACACCTCTTAGGTGTTCAGATTCTATGTTGAACATTCTACCTGCCCCCTGCCTTGACCAGATGTGTAGTATCACTGAGATAGTAGGAAGAACTGCTGAGAAAAGGCGCATTTAGGTGACAGAACTGTAGAGGCATGCAGACAAGTGTCTACATGTAATTTGGAGGGAAACTGGTTTATTGGTTTTGTTTCAAAATAACTTTCCAAGACCATATGGCTCGCAGATCATACATCTTTCCATCTGGCCACTTCAGGAACCACTGTGCAAGCTGCTCCAGGGAAGAGAGGGCCTGAGTTTGAAAACCAACATCTACAAGTGCATTGCTCTGTGTGTTTGTCACTCAGTCATGTCCAACTCTGTGTGACCCTATAGACCGTAGCCCGCCAGGTTCCTCTGTCCATGGGATTCTCCAGGCAAGAATACTGCCCTCCTCCAGGGGATCTTCCTGACACAGGGATCGAACTCATGTCTCTTATGTCTCCAGCATACACAGGCGGGTTCCAGTGCCACCAAATGCACTACTCTACCGCAAACAGTTAAGTTTATCAAAAAATACCAACAGCACAGCAGGAGACCAACAGCTCCAGTTTTCTCTCCAGGAAGAGGCCTATTCCCTAAGACAACCGAAGTCCTCATTCAGTGACCACTGAAGGTCAGGGGCCCTGCTAGGGCCCCGAGCACCATAAGCAGGAAATAGCTCTGTTCAGAGCAGCATATCTGAAACACACCACTACCACATACCAGCCCCACCCAAATACCCACCACCCGGGCTAGACAGATGGATGACCCCACAGGGATCCTGACTTGCAGAAAGGAAACTGAGATACTGTATGTCAAGTACTTACTCAGGAAGCTGACATTCACTGTAGTAAGCACTAGATAAATATAAACTACTATGGTTGCCCTATTTATTCAGCTCCAAAACTTAAGTTTTTAAAAACATTAACATTTCTGTAATGGAGGACGCCTTTAAATCTCTATCCATCTATTAGTGATCGTCTTATCCTTCTACCTCTCAGGCTGATAGTAAAAGAATGGCAACTGACAGTCTCTTTAGAATGAAGAAAACATGGTATTAGTGGCCAGGCCAATGAATGGTAAAATGGAGTAAGGGCCAAACACACACCAAGAGGCTGCCCTCCATCAGGCCTCTGGGCTCCTGAGGTTAAAGCAGAAGGAGGGGGAGACAGAGAAGGAGGGCCCAGAAACTAAAGCTGGAGGCAGCAGGTCAGGAGAGGCCTGGAAGCAGGAACAGGGAAACTCTGCCTCAAAGATAAAGCTGAGAAAGGAGTCTACGTACCAGCTGGGTCTGCTAGCCAAGGGGTGGGGCAAGGAAGGAAGGAGTGGGGATAAGAGGGCGGTCAAATGAGTACTGGTCCCATCGCAGCTGGGGAACTCGGTAGGACGGGTGCTGCTGCCACAAGGCTGAACTAGAGGAAGCCGTGTAAGGTGTCAGCGACGAGAAACAAAGGCGACCACGTCGCAGGCATGGGGGCTGAGAGCCGGCAGAGGACTGACATGGAAAGCAGGGCAGGTCTGGAGACCCAGACCGCGGGAAGAGGGAGAGAAATCCGGGACGTCGGCCAAGGGGAAAAAGAAAGGGAAGGGCGAGAGCTAAAGATGGAGCTGAGGGCTGAGAAACTGGGCGCGGGGGTGGAGGGGGGCAGTGGGAGGGGCAGAAGGAACGATGGGCGGAGGTGACGGGCAGGGGGAAGCGGGCAACGCCAGGGGCTCCGCAAGGCAGGTGGCGGGGATCCGCCCGGATGGGACGAGGAGAGCGAGCCTCCCCCCACCCAACCCCGGCACCCAGTTTCTCACCTTTAACGTCGTTGGCCAGTGCCTTCCACGTCGGGGCGAAGGCGATGCAGTGGCCGCACCAGGAGGCGAAGAACTCCACCGCCCAGGCGCTGCGGGAGCCCAGCACCGTGCGGCGCACCGTGTCCGCCCGCAGCAGCGTCAGCGGGTCGGAGGACGAGTAGAGCGCCGAGCGCGGGGCCGCGCCAGCGCCACACACCGCCAACAGCAGCGACAGCAGCATCAGCAGCCGCGACGGCGGCGGCCCGGAGCCGCGGCCGCACCACCCCATCCTCGGCCGCCGCGCCGAGGCCACCGCTGCGCACAAGTTTTCGGAAGACTTGGAGCTCAGCGGCTCCGCCGCGGCACCTCCTGCCTCCGTGGGGAGGTGGAGCCCGCAGGCCCCGCCCGCCATGGTCCAGTCCCGCCCCTGGCCCCGCCCGCTGGCCAGAGCGCCGACGAAGGCCGAAGCGCCTCTCTTCGCCGTCCGCCGAGACCTTAGAGCTACTCGAGTTCTCGCCTCCGCCTGGAAAAGGCGGGGAGCACAGCCCAGGCCCCCGAGCCCCGCCCGCCAAATGATAGGTGTGGGACATCCGCGGGGGCAGAGTCCCGGGCGACAGAGTCTCTCTGGGCGACCAGGGGAAGTCATTTGGCTTCTCATAGGCCCCGTACCCAACGGAAAAGGAATCCGTTGGAATGGATTGGACTGATGGACGTTGTTCCCAGACAGTGCTGGGGATCCCACCAAGCGACGAGAAGTTGTGACTTCGAAGCATGTGGGAGAGAGTGAGGGGTGGAAGGACAGTGTCTTGAGTCTGTAACCACCATGACCCCACGGGGATCAGATGTGTCCACACCGCCTGAGGCCTGTGACCATCCAAGGAAAACATTATTTGAGGGCTTACTGGTTATGAATTAGAAGCGCCCTCCTATCATAGACTGGACTGGATTGGCGTGGCCCATTGGGTAGCGTCAGTTTGCTCAGCCGGCAGTTCTGGCCACCCTGAAGTTGTTAGCACGATTCCTGAGATAGAGGCTCCCAGCAGCCCAAGTCCCCCACATCTAACCCTTCAGTTTGCTCACGGATCTCCATATTCACTTACATACCCCTCTCAGGAGTAACCCAATAACTAATCTTGCGTGCGTGTGTATTAAGGTGTTAATGATTAATTTTCCCTGCTCTATCTTTTATAGCTCCAATGTTGAGTTATCTTAAGAGGAGCAGGTGTTCCTCAGACTGTTGTCACAAATGATCTTTTTCCTCTGTGCCTCCTGGGTTAGCTCACCTCACTTGTAAGTCTTCTGAGACTAGATTTGTTATTCATTCAACATTTATCGAGTGGTTTCTTTGTGCCAGGCGCTGCTGTAGGTACTAAGGCTAAGGCAGTACATAAAACCAAGACTCTACAGTCATGGAACCTACATAAACAAGGATACAGAAATAAATGTAGATCCTGTGTTGACAAAGGCTCTGAAGAAATGTACAATGAAGTAAGAATAAAGTGACAGAGAAAGTGGTATTTTATTTTAGATAGGGAGGTCAGGGGTGGACCCATCCCTGATATATACAGGGCCAGGGCAAATAGTGCAAATGGAGATAAACATATCATGCGTGTGTGTTCAGTCATTAAGTTGAGTCCGACTCTTTGCGACCCCCATGGACTGCAGCCTGCCAGGCTCCTCTGTCCATGGGTTTTCCCAGGCAAGAATACTGGAGTGAGTAGCCATTTCCTTCTCCAGGGGATCTTCCTGACCCAGGGATCGAACTCATGTCTCCTACACTGGCAGGAGAATTCTTTACCACTGAGCATCTGGGAAGCCCCACACATGTCTACCTAATTTAAAATTATAAGCCAGTCTAAACTTAGGTAAAATTCCTCTCCTTTCATCTTGACAAGTACACAGTCACAAAAATCTGGAAGGTCAAACTTAAGTGTAGGATTCTTAGACTTCCCCTGAGATGTGCACTGGAATGGGGCTTCTTGGGTGGTAACTAGTCCCTGGCCCTCAACCTTCCTCCCATTCTTTGCACCCCAGCTCTGTCCCATACTTCACGGCACCTTGTGCCTGCACCTGTAACATCCCTGTCTGCACATCTGAGCTCCATCCATACCTTTAGCAAATAGCCCCTCCTTGGTTCCTCCTTGAGGAAAAGGCTGATGCAGTCTTTAGAAGCTGGCCTGGTGCTCTTGGAACAGGGAGTTCTAGGGTCTCAGGAACTCTCAGTATGATCTAAGAAGAGGTGAGGAACAGGAGCTTTGGGTGGGCACATCCCCTTGACCTACGGGCTTCTAACTCTGTCGAAAGGGGCATGGCTGGAAGAGGACTGGAGAGCTCAGAAGACAAGGTAGGGGTTCCTCTTGCCCCCAGTCTGAAGGCAGTTCTAATGAGGTAATGTTTGATCCAAAGACCCAAATGAAAAATGGGAGGGAAACTTGTGTCAATGTGGGAGAAGAGCATTCCAGGCAGATATCTGGAGGTTGGGGCTTTTGCTCGCTTCATGCATTCATATTCTCTGTGCCAGAGTCTTGAAGTGCATAGATAGTCCCCCAGCAACCTGGGATTCCCAGGGGTGGATGCACTCCAGTGGTGAGATCAGGTGCTGATAAAAGTCAAGTGCCTTCACTCTGCTGTTAAACAGTGTTGTCCTTATCTTCCCCAGGGAATTCCCTGGAATTAAGGGGACAATGTTGGCTGAACGTGAAGCGTACCTGGGAAGGACAGCCCATGTAAGTTCACAAAGACTTGTTTGTTCACGTATCTATTTCAGATCATATCAGAAACGGAAAAGAATACAAACGATAAGAATGGAAAAAAGTTTCTTGGCAATGGGACCGAAGAAATTAGCATTGAGACTTATAAGATCTGGAATGTCAGTATCTCAGAACAGTCATACAGGGGTTCTCAACTTTAAGTCTCAGAAGTCTGTTTAAACAGAATCTTAAAAGGAGTCTCAGATCAAAGCAAGCTGAAAGGTGAGACCTACAGCAGTAGCCACTTTCTATGGTCCATGGGGGGTTCTTGGGAACCCTAGGAATCCCCTTGACCACCATGTGAAAACCACTGGTCTAGAATTGAAAACAGAAAACATAAGTTTACAACTTCCTGGATTGCTCTTCCATAAGCTTCCTGGGATGAAAAAATGGCAGAGAAGAAAATCTACTCAACGATAGGGCATGGAGGGGGATGGCGTGCCAAGGAAAGCATTGAAAGTGGGGGCATTTGGGAATTCCTAGCCAGGTTCCCTGTTCCCCTTCCTGCATACACGTGGTAGGAAAGTGAGGCAAGATAACTCAGACGTGAGAGTAAAAGTAACGGCTAATAGTTTGCAGTGAGTGCTCTGCTGAGTACTTACAGATGCTACTCATTTAACCCTCACCCCATCCTTATGAGGTTGAGAGTATTATTATATTATCTGATTTTTACCGATGAGAAGACTAAGGTCAAAGGAGCCCTGTTGACTTTCCCACTTGTGAATCATTCATGTGTTATGCGTGAATAAAAGAGAGGGTATTTGGGAGTCTGTCCACTAAAAATAAGATAGACAGTAAGAGGAATGCAGCTTCTACACCAATACAGATGATGATGGTAAGCAATAGAATAGTGTTTGGTAAAACATGTCATCCGGTGGCAGAGCACTGGATGACTTTCTACTTACTCACTAGCACTGAGGATCAGAGAGGGTGTGAGCCCCTGGAAGGCAAGGGCGCAGCAGCAGGGAAGGAATCGCGGCTTTGTCCCTTCAGAACTTGCCTCTTGGTCTTCCAGGTGAACTTCTCCATACCTGGGCTCAGTTGGAATAACTGTTGTGAAAGTTGGAAGAGAGGTCGTGAGAGTCCGTTATCAGATATGGCAGGAAAGAAAAGGCACATTCAGAAGGATGGCTGAGGGGGTTGCTAATGGATGGACTGGTTCAGAGGTGTGTGTGGGCAGGAGGAACTGACAAGACGTGTAAGGTTCCTAGTGACTAATGACAGAAGTCTTTCTTGCACTCCTCCAGAGTAGGAAACTATGGGAGGGAACTCTGCAAGGAAGACTGGCAGAAGCTGGAGTCCAGGAAGAGAGGCCTCCCGGTAGGAGCCGTGACCACAAAATGCTGCCACTGCCAGGGACAGAGCCAGGAGGAAAGCAGGGAGGCGCCAGGAAAGTCTCACTTCCATCTCTTTCTTCCCCAGTCCTTTGCTGTCTTGCCATCACCTCCCATTGGCCAAACCCAATCAAAACCGGAAGTGAGGATGTCCTGATTATAGTCCATAAAAGTGGGCTTCTAGGACAAAAGGTGGATTAGAGGAAAGTAGAGGATGCAGAATACTGTACCTAAACTTGGGCTCTTCAAGGCCTTAGAAATGAGAGTGGGAAACACAGAAATCCGACCGTTCTTCTGTGAGTCTCCTAGGTGGGAGCAGGGAACCGGGGGTCTAGCCACCCACTGGAGAGAAAGCCAGCATACAAGGGCTTAGCCAATCCGTTCCCAGCTCCTTGTTCTTTCCTGTTCACACACAGCCCAATGGTCTTATTCTTGATCTGTCGAGGAGACTGAGGCCCAGAAAGGTGAAGGCCCTTGCACAAGGTCTCACAACAAAGTAATGGTCGAGTCCATTTTCGTCAGGCTATCCAACAGAGCTATTGAAATATTAAGATGAGGACCTCTGTGCAAAGGATAATTGGGGCAGAACCCCATGCTCAGGTAGAGCTTCCCTGGTCCCCAGGTCATTTGGCAATTCAAAGGGAATAGGTAACGTGCTTCCCCTCCAAACCACATACATTTCTAACCCCTCCTGCTTTCTCCCGCTTTCCACCCTCATCCCACAAGGACAAGCTGATTATTTCAAGTGAAATGAAGATATAAGGCTGTAGTCTCCAGGCCTTGTTATTAGGGCTCTCTGGCCAATATCAAGAGGCAAGCCTTTTAGGAACCTGCAAGTCATCAAATGAGGCCTGAAGTCAAAAGCATCAAGGCCACATTGCTGAGTCGCTGGGGTGGAGGGTGTCCAGTCTTCCCCTTAGGAGACTTCTGGGGACCTTGCCAACTTTGTGATACTGTGAGATTGGTTTGGGAGAATGTTAGGCTTCTAGAACAGATGTCCGCGCACTTACTGAGTGCTTCCTACGGGTTGAGCACCGTTAAGTAAAGGGGCTTGGGGTGGGAGTATGGGGAGCTGTCAGTGAGTAATACCCCTGCGTCCCGTGTCTCAAGTAAGGAACAAGCACAGGGAACAAATGGAGACTCAAACGCATCCACTTTCTCACAGACGAAATTGATTGGAGATTGTGGCTTAGATGTACTTCCAC